TGAGCTTTGTCAAATTATGTCCACATGCCTTACATATCATGTGGCTGCTTAAACTCTGAGGTTTGTTTTACATCAAGTTTCTAGCCTTCATAGGTTTTTTTAAATTGCAAACTGCTACAGAAATGTGAAGAACTTAATTTTGGGGGGAAATAGGGAAGTGAAATGGCCAGATTTGCCCATCCCTATGTACAGAACAAAACATTAGATGCCTAATGAATCTTGATGATGCCTGATGGCCAAATTCAGGAAATGATTGATATGAGAAAGCACACTTCATGCTGTAAACTTTAAATTGCGGTCCAAAGTATACCTGTGTTTGGAAGAAGAGGTCCCAAAACAAGCATATATATCAAGATGTGATAGGTAACTCTGAAGACCAAGACAGAAGGCTGTAAATTACAACAACCAGACTACATTTTAAGAGTTTGGTAGTAACACTTTGTTGCTTTCTTCACCTTTTGACATTGGCTGCATACTAGAAATGTAGGCAGTATGGAAAATGGCTTTGGGGCACCTCTGGTTTTGCCCACAAACAGGTAGGAACATAAAAAGTCAACTCTCCACAAACAGCATGGGCTTACTATTAGCTCACTGTTCATTTTGATTTATTGAGGCCCAGAGTCTGAACTGAGCCAGGCCTTGCTCATCTACACAGGAACACTTACACTTTTAAGAGTCTTCAGGTAGAGGCCTGCTTAAAATCCTTTTCTTCAAGATGCTTGGAGCAAAGCAGTGCTCTCAGAGTGGTGGCCTCTACACTGTATTGTAATACCCACCACCTTTTTAAAACAAACTTCCCATAAATTACAGATAATTAACTGGTAGGTAGATGTCAGATCTATTACTGAAAATTCTAAGTCAGTTTTCGTGAGGGATGCCGACCAGCACAGCTGGCACTCCAATGCAGCTATGTATTTAGGGGGAGACAGGTAATGTACCACAGGATACTGATATTTGTTAACAGATTAAGGCTGTAACTTCCATGTACAGTAATCCTGGGAAGAAGCCCTGTTGAATACAGAGGCCACCACTTTGCTGAAACTAAGTAGGTCTGTTTAGCCACGGCTTGGATGGGTGCATGAACACCTCATGTACACTGTCTTTGGTTCCATGACAGAAAATGGGATAGAAATGTAGTAAAATAAACAAACATGCCTAGGTTTTCAAGCTTCATGTCTTACGTTAACCAAGAAGTGGGAAACCTGGTGTGCTGGTTAATGTAATATTACTTTCTATCACTTTTTGTAATTTATGAAAGTACAAATCTGTGTCAACTATCATTTTCAGAATGAGAATGTAAATGACCTTTTAATCTTGAACCTCTTACAGCCAAGGTAACTGTTAACTGAAAACACCACAAAGCCTCCTCACAGGATGGAATAAATGAGGCCAAATGTTTGCCTTCCTTAAACACACACACACAAAATCCGCAAGAACTGAACATTAAAGAACTAAAAATAATTATCCTGGTAAACCAAATTGCTATGTTCCTGGGCAGCCCTTGCGTGACACTTCCCGTAACTTTTCTATCTGAAAGTACTCACAAAAGAAAACCGCTGGTCGGGGGGGGGGGATGAAGCAATGTCTTCTGAACCGATTGAATGTAAATATATACATTCAACGGGGAAGTGGAATAAAATAGATTTTTTTATTATTTACAGCATTCATACCCTGGCCCTTTAGCCAAAAGGGCTCCAATAAGACATTACAAAAATCAGTTTTAAGATGGGCCAGTCCTTGCCCTCAGGCTCACAATCTATAAAGACATGGCACACCAGGAAAAAGGAATCATGAGGGAAGAGCAAGCTGAGGCACAAGTTCTAAAAGTTACAGGCACTCTCTTGCCTGTGATAAAGAACAGCTCATTTGCTTTTAACCTCTCATCAGATTCAGGAACAGAGATTTTGGCAACATCCAGGCTTGGAGGAAAGAGTAGCTTCTGCCAGTTTCTTAGGTAGCTGACTTGATGGCAGTTGGAATCTTCACAGAAAGGCGCTTAATGGTACCTTCTCTCTCATCCATGTCAATGATAGTTCTCTGGGTGGATTTCCATTAACCAGTGAGCCAAAAGAACAGGATTTCCCCCCACTTTTTCTTTTAGGTTTATATTCATATGCATACATTTTGAGGCTCCTTCATGGATCACTGCCTTGTCGTGGCGAAGGGGCTTGAATGACTCCAGGAAGCTCTGAGCTATGCCGTGCAGGGCCACCCAAGACGGACAGGTCACAGCTGAGAGTTTAAACTAAATGTGATCCACCTGGAGAAGGAACTGGCAATCCACTCCAGTATTTTGCCAAGAAAACTCCATAGACATAAAAAAGTAGAAGCTTTGAAATGAAAGTGAGTGTTTCCAAGGCATGCTCTGGTTCATGGGGTCACAGAGAGCCGAGCAGGACTAAGACGACTAAACAACAACAACATTTTGAGGGCAAGGAGCTTCATATATTTATATAAACACACCATGCATTTTGAACAAACACTAGAAATGAGAATGCTAGAATAAGCTAAGTGATTTGTGGCCGTTTGATGTGCAGATTAAAACAACCAACCTTCCCGCTGGGAAGAAGTTGTAGTCAAGACGACCACACAGCAGCATTCTGTCGAGTCTCCAAATAAAGAGAAGAATGTATAACTGAAAATGGGAACGGTTTCCATCCTGAAAAGCTGTAGGGTGTAACTCATATAGACAAGAAGCCTGTGAACATTTGTTCTATGGTAATGCAGAGCCTAGTACTTGCCCATCAGAAGGTCGGCAGTTCGAATCCCCGCAACAGGGTGAGCTCTCGTTGCTCGGTCCCTGCTCCTGTCCACCTAGCAGTTCGAAAGCACGTCAAAGTGCAAGTAGATAAATAGGTACCGCTCCGGCAGGAAGGTAAACGGCGTTTCCGTGCGCTGCTCTGGTTCGCCAGAAGCGGGTTAGTCATGCTGGCCACATGACCTGGAAGCTCTACACCAGCTCCCTTGGCCAATAAAGCGAGATGAGCGCCGCAACCCCAGAGTCGGTCACGACTGGACCTAATGGTCAGGGGTCCCTTTACCTTTTTTAATGCACCTATGTAGCAACTGGCAAGGAAGCTGATTGTACTCCAGGGCTAGCTATTATGCCTACACTATGTCTCTTATTACAATGCAGATCAGTCCCCAGCATTCCTAAGTAGGGCTGCAAAAGAACCCAGAAAGTTGGAGTGCAATTGCCAGCTAACATAGAAAACAATAGACCGGTGATCAGACATGGTTTTTGTCATCTTCTTACATTCTTCTTCTGAGTGATTGCTTGGCACTCGGCATTGTCTTTGAAGAATATGATATGGCTACAAAGAATGGCAATCTGAAGTTAGTACCAACGTGGAAGCATGCCTTCTCAAAAATCCACAAGGCGGAGAGATATCTACTTATATCACGATTAAAAATGCTGCAAAATGGGGAGGGGATTTGAAAGTGGAAATAAAAGAGGCTGCCATTAAAAATGCTGAAATCCTAAAATACTTAATTCAGCCTACTATATTAACAAAGTATAGAGATGTAACTGCATTGTGGATAAATATAAAGCAGCAACTTACTTGGTCTGGGTTTTTTTTTTTTATTAAAAACTTCCATCACTTAATGAAATGCACTCCCAAGTGCATCCATTTCAGTCAGGAAAATAAAAGTTTCTTCCAAAACTACTGAACATCCCACACACTAGAAAAAATTTTCAAATGACATCTTTGTTAAGTGTTCTGATCAATTTTTTAAAGACTGAGTCCTCCTGTACAAAAAAAAAGGGGGGGGAGGAGGTTCAGGTGATTCCTTCTAGAAGCCTGAACATCTTTCCAACAAACCAGATTATAGGTTTCTGTAGCCACCACATGAAATGAGCAAACACTCATTTACCACAAATATAAACCAGATAATTGGGGGAGGGGGGTTGTAGTTGAAACTTTGCATAATGCAATCAAAACTTGAGCCATCTGACTAGTTTAACTGCAGTACAATTAAACACTCTTTATGTACTGCTGCAAATTTTGGTAGCACATTTTAGCATCTTGTATATTTTTAGAATTAGCTTCTTGACTTCTTAGGATCATTGTTTGTGGATTCATTAATAAACCAGAGCCAAAAGGGGCAAGTAACTTTTAAACTGCCTTTTAAACTTTGCATACCACATCTCTGTGCTTTAAAGTATTAGTAAAAATTGCACACCTTTCGTCCAAATCAGTCTCTTGAAGTAGGTTGCAGTGGCATGAGAATGTAGCATGATGCAATTACATTTATACCAACAGCAAACTTGGGTGGTTTAGTACCTATCAGTTGGAAAGTGAATAAAATGGAGCCACCATAAAATAAAGTAGTGATTTTACACACTCAGAGGGACTTCCTAGATTTACAAATATACTCCTGTATATCAAAGGGGGGGGGGGAAATGTATCACAGAATGACCCTAGTATCTTACTCTCTGGTTCCTTTGGAAACCCTCCCCCTGGGGACACACACTTCCCCCCACCTCAGACCAAAAGCAATAGCTGCTCATATGGAGAAAACCAGGATTTTAGAGTAGCTATGAACAGAAGGTAACAGCACTGAGAGGTGCTCATTTTATTTCTAATTTGGGTCTTATCTCGAGAGACGGGGGATGTGATGGGAAGTTTTAATAAACGTAAAAATACAACATGGCTGCAATCCAAGTCAATGGAGCACAAGGTTTCTGTGTGAAATTAAGCGAGATTATACAACGAGGCAGTGTTTCTTACTAGAGGGAGAACCAGATTGGCTCCGCCAATACATTTAATACCACACGAACCTCATTCCCTACCTCCCGGTAAACAGCAGTGCCCAACTGAAGGTCAAGTGACCACACCATCACAACAAATCCTCACTTCATCAAACCAATATGAAATAAATGGCAGAATCCTCTGCATGCTTACTCTTAGGCCACACTACGTTCAATGAAGCATACTCATAGGTAGTTGCACATAGGCACATACTTGCACATTGACAGATATTAACAATTCAGGCAGTACAGGTAATAACAGCGTACCTTTATTTGAATATGTGCACTGTTACTAGTGCAATTGATACAACGCCAGAAGTTTTCTTTCAGCAAAGTCAGAATAGGTATCAAACTTCTTTTTGTTAAATAGTCAAAATTCACTACTAGATGGAAGCAGCATTTAGTGCAAAGAATTAAGAGACACCCCATGCCAACCATCTTTGGGATTGATTTGCATGTGTAGTGAGGCACTCACAACCGATGTTCCACTCTGTTCCATGTGTATTTTATATATATATATAAAAGTTAATCTGTTGAAGGTTGATTCCCCCCACGCCAATTCTTACACATCAAAAAGAAAAGAAGTGATTTTTCATACTGTACACTACAGCAACAACTATATATATATGTATGTATATATAAATAAAGAGTGACAACACTTTATTTGTACATTTCCTCAGTCTATTCAAGCAGTAATAGGGAAAGGGGGTGGGAAGAGATGTTCAGCTTATAACATTTTGCTTTTAAACGCACACACACACATCTATGTTATAATGATATTCTACATAAAACATTTAAAAAAAACAAAATACAGTTGCCCTCCATTGTTTCCCTTTCACTGAGAGAATGAAGCATCTATTAGTTGGCTTTCCAAGCAATATCACTTCCCATCTATTCCTGATCCTCATTTCATATCAGATTTAAGACTAACCTTGGTTCTGTATCTAATAGAATGCACCAGGGAAGTAATACTAAAATATGCCTTTCTCCAGAAAAATCAAATGCTATGCTCATGAAATCTATGTATACAATAAAATGAAGTGTCAACATAATCTTCCTCCAAAACCACCCATACTTAACCAGTAGTTTTCTTTCTTTAGTTTCTTCAGAAAGCCAAAAAAGTGGGAAATTCAAGTAAAAATGCAGAACCACTTTTTTACAATCACAACACAAATGCCTATAAAATTATATTTATCTAGTTGGTTTTTTTTAGTATAGCTATTAGAAGAATTCTGTAACCTAGGTATTGAATGAATAGGTCAAGATCACTCTCCAGCTACATAGGACAATGGGACAAAAACTCTTCAATTTACTTAAGAACGTGGCTATTACTTCCAAGTTACAAGCATTGCATAATCCCAAAACAATAAATGAGGTTTTGAAAATAATAGCATTCTTTGATGCACACCATGGGTGTATGTTGGGACATTCTGCACAAAGTATCATGTGTGTTTACTGTAGGCTCCCTAAGATTTTATGTCCGATTGTAAAGGAAAGGAAAGAAGGGTTCTGCCTAAGCTACTACCAATCTACTCAAAAGCAGGGCCAAACAATTTGATATAAATGTGACACAACTATATGCTTTTGCCAGTAGGGGAAAAAAGGCTGGTCTGAACCTCCAGACATGTTTGCTATCTGATCCAATGGAAGTTCATAACCGTAATCTTCTAAATATAGCACTAGATGTTTTAATTATGACCTCAGACTAGACAGCTTTAAATAATGGTTCCTTCCCAATCTTCGTCTGAGCTGAAGGAAGTTTGCACTTTACCACTGGCAAGATCAGACAGTTAACTTTTTAATCATTTTAAGTCAACAGAGATTAAATTACTGATCAGGTAGCTTTAAGTTATAAGACATATAATTCAGGAGTTATGAATTGTAAACTTACTTATTTATATGCCCATTTTGTTAGCACAACAGAACCCCAAGGCAGCAAAGCCTTCTGAGTTTCTGGCAATTCTGAGCTTCACTGCAGAATTCTGCAGAATTCCTCCATGTAGCTATGAAGGACTATGCCCTCCTTTCTAAATACATAAAGCAATTCTCCCTAGTGATCGGTTTCTCAGAATGGAGTGGTGCATTCTCATCTTGCAATAATATAGCGTGGGGAAAACAATCTAAGTGCAGCCCTTTCTCTAGTGTGGTGAGAAAATGTAACAGTGAAATACAACAAAAAAAATTTCATTTGGGGAGGCGGGGAGTAATTTTGCTGTAAAGTCTGAAACTGCTAAGAGAAGGATAGAACATTTTAATTATAAGGTTGTATTTCTCAGCTATTTTAAGGATTTGCCTATAGCAAAGTCATACATGAATGATCAACCAGTACATAAGAAAGATTTTACAAAAATATAATTTTACACCATGTGCAGAAGTAGACAGGGTGGGGAGTACAAATGCAATAGGTATTTCAACATGCATATGCAAATACAGTGTATGGGCTAGTGATGTTTTAGCCGCAAGATCCATCAGATCCATGTGGCTGGGCTCAACTAAGAGGAGTAAACGCTCTGTTTATAGAGAAGCACAAAATATAAATACTCTCAGGCTTACAATCTACCAGAAACTTCACCTGCACAGACTATATTGTAACGACTGGGACACGGCCTGTGCTCTTGAGCTCAGCTCCCACTCAAGTAGATGCGGTTGGTGAAGAAGCTTCCAGTGCATTGTTTCATAAGTCACTTGGCTAATTATTCCTTTTCAATGACCTTTCGCACTTCATGAACATTTGCACTAAAGGGGTATGTGACCAATAAAAAGAATTCTCAATACACATTTCAGCTTTCCATACTTAAACTGAAGGACTGGGGCAACAGTCCAAGCCATAGTTTCAAATAACTAACAGTTATTTGTTTAATCTATTATTCCTCCCTATTTATAATAAATATTAACGGGGGCTAGCTTGGTTTGTCAAATGACAGCTCACTAATAAGACTTCTTAAGCCAATGGCATTTATTCCAGCATTAAGTATTTTGTAAATCTCTTTGTGCATGAGGTAATGCAGCCTTTTTTCACTTTTGTGTGTTGAAAACATCTTTAGAATAAAACTAGTCTGATGAAGATGAAGAAACTATTAATTCTTTCCCTTTATAACCAAAGACTGGGCCCAATCCATGTTCATTCTGATGTGGCAGTCATTACACCATGGCTTTATCCCCATCGTTTTAGTTGTGCTGAACTTTTCCTCTGAAGAAACCCTCACATTTTCCTCTGAATGAACCCTCACACATTTGAGATTGAGTATTTACCTGTTGGGAGGACCCACTGAAAATGAAATAACAGATCTTGACACATGAGGGTTAGAATAAGGATTCACCATAAGTAGTATCATGGTGGCTTTATAGCACCACAATGGGCCAGAGGGTTTCCTTAAAAAGAAAGAAAGAAGAAGTCTGCCCTTAATTCCTCCAATGGAAGCACATCGATCATTTAACAAACAACCCACGTAAAGTCTATTTAAAGCACCGTGACTATTAAACTGATTAATGTCTGAAGGGAGAGAAAATTCTGTGGTATCACACTGAAATGCTAACATTGTCTTTTTAAATTGGTATTCAACGATCTAAAATAAAAAGTAAAAATGATCACATTCTAAAGGTTCAGTGCATTCAGCAGCTATAGCTTTGCTGCTAATTCATCTACGTTGACTTTCAAAAAATAACACCCTAGCTCATCAAAATATACATTTTTTCCCATTTGCTTTTAAATTAAAATAATAATAAAAAACATTTAAAGAATTCACAAATCGATAGCATGACTAAGTTTCAGGATCATCTACAGCATATAATTTAAAGATTCAAGACGCCAAGATGTAGCATGTGGCAAGCCCTACACACTTCATGCAGCATGTGTGGCGTGTGGACCTTGAACTTCAAACATCTGTTCTCTTCTTCCAAATAGTATAAAATACCCATCTAAAAACTTGTCAAGGAATCAAATACATATTTTGCACTTGGGTCACATTATGAACAGGAAGAAGAAACCATCATTTCCATTGGAATCTGCATTACTTTTATCATCCTTTGTAAGTTATATGGCTAGATTCATAGTTGGAAGGCATTCTCAAAGTTGACCTAGCCCCATCCCCTCATAATTCAGGAAAGATGACCTTCTGTCCTGATGGAAGTATAATCAATAGCAGGATACCTTGTAAAGCTGTGCCATCGTTGACAACCTTTCAAGGTCATCAGTTCAAGCCTTAAAAAATACATTTTGGTCGCATAATATATTGTCATTAAAATTCTCACATCAACGTTAATTAAAAAAAAAAAAAACTCCAAGCATTTCAAATCCACATATCCTTACTTCATGGTAAGTTGATGAGAAATACCTTGCTTTTCTTTAGGACAGCACTATTAGTTTACCCTGTGGCACTTCACTTCAGTCTTAATAACATGGGCATCATTCTGAACTTTGAAAAATGGAAATTAGTATTATTTCGTGTCCTTTCTGCTGTCTTGTTTTAAAGAAAAACTTCCACTCTTGTTAAGGCCCGTTACACATGTTAGGAACAAACATACCCATAGCAGAATTTCTGAAAGTTATGGGGTGGTATCTGACCAAGTTAAACTGTGACTAGACCAACTGAATGAAAAGAAATTAGGCTCAAGTGATTTAGGCCAAATGGACTTGTCCGAGTAGGGCTGAAATCAGACCCATCCATGTTATTAAATTTTGAAGTAGAATCCTCCCTACATTATTCAGATACTCTTTATCTTTTGAAGAATATGTGCAGTGAAGTCCTTTTGACGTACTCACTATTCATTTGGTTTATACAATGGTGCTTATCAAGAGACATGATTTATTGAGCAAGGATACAGTTCCATGTATGAAGGGACACATACAACTTCCTTTGAAAATGCCACAGGACAGTATAGCCTACCAAGCTGTTCTTCGTAGAGAGTCAAAGCTTCAGTCAGATTTACACAATTTCCCTGCAAGACAACATGTGACCTATATATCAATAAAACTGTGGGGAGACATAATGCAAAGGGAGCAAATTCATCAATAGATTCTATATAAACAGAGGTATAAATCACTTATGTCAGTGAATCTTGAAAAAGACACAAATTTATTTATATTATTTGTAATATTTATATACTACCCAGTAGCAAAGATTCATTGAGCTGCTTAACATTTGTTTGTTTGTTTATATACCACCTTTTTTCAGTATTGGGACCCAAGGAGGCTCAAAAAATTAAAGCAAACATGGATACAACACAGAAAGATATTAGATAAAAAGCAATTAAACTATAACAGAAATATTAAAACCGTAAGATAGGGAAGTAAGACATAAACATGAAATCTATAAGAAATCATTATTCATAAATTATAAAGTAAGAAGGAAACACTCCAGCTTTAAGGTATGATTCAGCTAAAGCACATCATAAGGATATTTACACAGAAGTCCTACCAAGTTCCATGGATTTTATTCTGCATTAAATACATTGAGGATCATGGTTTTGTAGACTCTCATAGTAACTCCTTTCCCGTTCCGAATGTTAACACATATTACAAAATTCAAGGACTGGCTACAGTATCACTAGGCAGGAATTTGGAATGATTGCTCAATGCCAATGCTGTACTGACTCTGCAGTGTTACTAATCAAACTTGCTCAGAGTGGCTTCAATCTATGTGAAGCATTTATTTTATCAAAATTAAATATTTCACGACAGTCGAAAGAACATAAACATTCTGAAGTGACTGCGTTACTAATGAATACATCAATAACAGATAATCTTTACCTGCAAATGAGTGTAAAGTACAGCATTAAGGAGATGAGTGAGAAAGATATGACAAGTTTTATACCTGAATAGCAACCGTGGCATTAAATATATCAGGTGTGGGGAACCTACAGCTGTTCAGATATTGTTGGGCTCCAACTCCCATCAGCACCAGCCGGCAGGACCAATGTCAGGAGTGATGGGGAGCTGTGGTCCAGCACTGTATGAAGGACTGCAGATTCCCCACTCCTGAAATATAGTGGTACCTCGGGTTACATACGCTTCAGGTTACACACTCCACTAACCCAGAAATAGTGCTTCAGGATAAGAACAGAAATCGTGCTCTGGCGGCGAAGTGGCAGCAGGAGGCCCCATTAGCTAAAGTGGTGCTTCAGGATAAGAACGGACCTCCGGAACGAATTAAGTACTTAACCCAAGGTACCACTGTATATAGAAGAGGCTTAAGACAGGGCAATACATAAATGCACGACAAAATGTTATATGAATTCTGAATGGAAGATCATTAATCATATACAGAACAAAAGGAATTTAAATTATAGGTGGAAAATGAATGGCGGGGAGCAGAAGGTAAACAAGGGGAAATATATTCTTGTTTCTATGTTTATTATATTAGAGAAACACATTATTATTATTGTCTCATTTTTTAATATTAGAACATCAAATAAACAGCAGAAGGAAATTAAGTATTTCAGAAATAAATTGAGTTATTAAATGAACCACAAGCATCGTAAAATGGTAAGAGAGAGGTTAATATAAAGGCAAGGAAGTTAAGTATATAAAACTTGTTTAGTAATCTATTATTATCCGCAGTCCTGCAGTGGTTATTTTGTTCCGCTGCCTTTTACAAAGCATGTAATTTTGTCAGCATTAAATTGAATGGGATAGCATATAAACAACCTGCGTGTGTAATTTGGAAATCACAAATAGAAAACAGCACCAGGTAATTTATGGGACATCCTGCCAGTATAGAGGTAGCTTAATGGCACAACCCAATCTCTATAATGAGAGTAATCTCCAGTCTAGTTTTGTCATCCTCAGTATCCCAGGTTTCATCAACCAGCTCATCAAATCGCGAGCAATCACAGGAGACAACGTGGCAAGCAAATTGTGGAAAGGGAGAAGGAAAATACTTCTGAAATACTTAATTAAATCCAATAGTTTCTCCAGTACTATTCATTCATAACACTTATACACTGCTTTTGAAAAAACAACAACCTCAAAGTGGTTTACGAAAAATTAGAACAATAAAACTAAGAGGAATTCACAACCATACTTCAAAACATAAAAGACTAAAACAGATTAAAATGACCTCAACTTTCTGGGCATCTAGAAATGTTTTTTTTTCTTCTTCTTCTTCTAGGCATCTAGAATGTATTTAACAGATGCCAAAAGGGCACCTGCTTGATTTCACAATAGGAAGGGAGTTCCAAAGTGAACAATCAAGTTCTTACCAATGTGGAATAGGGACTATGCGACACCTGGAGTAATGCCACTACTGTGACAACATCTGCATCAGAAGCAGGCAAATATTTCACTTCACAGTACCACACTTCACATTAAAAAAAAGACCTATGCAAATTCACACACCAGGATGGTTTGTTCATAATAAATCAAATATGCCAAACCTAGGCCCATGTTGGATTTATATGCCCACCTACATTTTTTATTGTACTGAAATTACATAGTGGGCCACAGGGGCCTCCTGCCCCTAATGCCTGCTGCATCACACAGTAGAGCCCTGTTTGAGGGCTCTGTCAAAGTTGAAAACTAAGAGTTGTAGAAAGGGGACTTGAGGAAAGAAGGTCTTTCCTTTTCAATCTTAAGTAACCGCACTTAAGTAATCTTAAGTAAAAACGTCACTGAAAAGGTTATATTAGGAACTGGAAATACTCCATGAAATACATTTCTGAAAAACGACTCAATTTTCCATCCAAATTTACCCATAAACTATGGAGAGGGAGCATAATCACTCCACTCTATACCCTGAACCACAAAGACCAGACTTATAGGGTATTAGTACATAGAGCACACAGATTGCTGACATTCTCTGCTAGGTGAGCAGAGAAATTATTCCTCAGGTGTCAAAGATCAATTGCCTCAAACCGTTGGAGAAGGAAAATCTCCCTCATTTATTTCTACTATCTCAAGCTGTGATTCCTAGTTAAATCCCAGTCTTATTATCATCTTATCAAGTACAAAGGATCGGGTGACCCCCATCTTCGAGAGGAGCTTGGAAACTTTGCCAATACTGCTAAACTTTGAGAACTATACAGATAATGTTTTAAACACTTAACAAGGTAAATAAAACTAAAACAAGTGTTTGCGTTATATATGTATATCAAGCATATCTTCTAAGTCTATGCATTTTTTAAAAGTGTGCATTCTCATTCTGTCAGCAAAACTATAACGGCTGTCAAATGTTTGTACACAGCAGCCTGTGTGTATGTGTCTTGCGTCCCTATATTCCTCCCGCATAACACTCTTTGGATTTTATTACAGGAGCCAACGTTTTTAGTTGTCAAGCTCCATCTAGTGGCCAAAGAGTATAATGCAGATGACTACACTGCACAAGATATTCCCTGCCAGCATACAGCAACACTAATGGCCATTCCTTAGTTGCATTCGTTTTTTAGGAGCAGCAAAAGGTATTTGGCATTTTGACAGTGTTCTACTGCTATGGAACTAACGCTTCCTGATACAGAAAAGGATTGGGGCCCCTTGCTTGTAACAGTTATTTAAAACAGAGAACATAGAATAATTGACTAGATTGCCTTCTTATATGCTGAAACATTTCCTCTTTAGCTATTAAAACTTGAGGACTGAAAAGTGTTTACTTAAAAATAAAGCATCTGTGGATGAGCTTGCCTAGCTACATATTTCAGAGTCACAAGGTGACAAAATTAAACAATAAGCATCCTGTTTGGCACTGACCATGGCTGTTGTCTTTCTCTCCCTCCCCCCCCCCTTAAAAATGCAGTAGGATTATCAAAGTGTAAGAATATTGATGGCTGCATGCTAGCTCTAAAATACCCTCATCATTTCTGATAAGGTATAGTACCTTATCTATATAAAATAGTATTTGATTTTAACTTCCCTGAAACCAATCAGAAAACTTGAGCCAGGCTGAAAAACGTAAAACAAAAATGAATCAGCTTTAGGTTAATATTCTAAAAACAGTTTTAGCCAAACTTCAAATTATGTTTAAGTCTCCCGGATTTAACCAGATTCTGGAGCAGGCTTATCTGGTCCTAATGCTGGTATGCATAGAAAGCAATGAGCAAGCCCCAAGCATTTATTTGAACTTTCTCAGGTTCTGGAAAATCCCATAGTCAAATAAACCCAGATTTTCCCTGATTCACTTCAGCCTCTAGCATGATTGTGTAGGATACGTATAAAAGCCTTGCACTGCTCCCGATCTCACCCTAGGGACAAAGTAACATCTTAAACAGGCTTATTCTTTCAAACTTCGCTGTCATACTTAATTGTGATTACTTTTCATCTGCCATACCTGTGTAAAATATTTTCCATCCGGTTTCAAGACTTTCATTGAAAGGTCCAGAATCATCCGCAGAAACTCCCACGTAGAATCTAAATTTGAAAAATACTAATTGTTTAATTAGCAATTCACAAGGAAATATTCATAACTGTGTTTTTCTGGATTTTTTGAAAATCTCAATAAATATGTTATTAAAAAAAGAAATATTCATAACTGTGGTAAGCTATAGGAAAAGGTAATATTATTAACATTACGATAATCTTTTTGTTCAGGCTTATAGGATGCCTTGTAAACACGTGGCAATTACAATGGAAAGGGCATAGCATCTGTGTGCAGAAGGACTGTCATAATGGCCAACTGTGCTCCATTTTCTACACACATGCCCACACACTTGACATGCATACATCATCTAAGCCACTCCTGGGTCAATGCATGCCTTCTTCTCCCCACCCATCCCCTTATCTCACCCAGATAGAAGTTACTCAACTGCAATCAAGGTTTTTAAATGAAAGTTTTCATTGTAAACAAGGTTCGCATTCAAAAGGTCAGAGAGACATTAACCTTCTTCTGGAGATGTGGAGATTGGAACAGCTGTCAAATCGTTAATTACATAATCAAACATCCTTTCTTCTTTGGCATACCTCTTCAGGACTGGAATACAATCTTCTATTAGAACCTAAAAAACAACAATAGTAGAATTTGGGCAACTTTTCATATGCGGGGTTCCTGAGTTAGATCACTACTACCTTTTTAGCACTCTCAGATCACTCACCCATTGTTTCTGTAATTTCGACGGTACCAACATTGAAGAAATCAGTAACTAGTACAGATAGTTTTTGTTTTTAATGCCCTTAGCGTGTGGGTCAAAATGTATAGCAAACACTGTCAGTGCCTGGTGGTTCACATATAACACATCATGTTTGCATAGAAGCCTACATGCAAAAAAGGCAAATGCCCATAACCTCAACGTCACAAGACTCAGATGAACAGATTGCACAGATGCGTTGGCTCTATTTCAGTATGCTCCCATGTTAAGTGCACAATTATCTGACAGAGAAAGGATGATCTCAGCCTCATTGTGAATGTATATTCACCATCTACACAGGATTCTTTAACTCATCTTACTTTCACAACAGTGCCTGCCATAAGAAGCTGTTTTATACAGTCAGACAACTGCTTGATCTAGATCAGTACAGGTGAAACTCGGAAAATTAGAATATCGTGGGAAAGTTCATTTATTTCAGTAATTCAACTTAAAAAGTGAAACTAATATATGAGATAGACTCATGACATGCAAAGCAAGCTACATCAAGCCTTTATTTGTTATAATTGTGATGATCATGGTGTACAGCTGATGAAAACCCCAAATTGACAATCTCAGAAAATTAGAATATTAAATGAAACCAGCAAAACAAGGATTGCAAATAGAGCAATATTGGACCTCTGAGAAGTAGAAGCATGCACATGTACTCAGTACTTGGTTTGGGCCCCTTTTGCATCAATTACTGCCTCAATGTGGTGTGGCATGGATGCTATCAGCCTGTGGCACTGCTGAGGTGTTATGGAAGACCAGGATGCTTCAATAGCAGCCTTCAGCTCTTCTGCATTGCTCGGTCTCATGTCTCTCATCTTTCTCTTGGCAATGCCCCATAGATTCTCTATGGGGTTCAGGTCAGGCGAGTTTGCTGGCCAACCAAACACAGTAATCCCATGGGCATTAAACCAGGTTTTGGTACTTTTGGCAGTGTGGGCAGGTGCCAAAGTCCTGCTGGAAAATGAAGTCAGCATCCCCATAAAGCTCATCTGCGGAAGGAAGCATGAAGTGCTCCAAAATCTCCTGGTAGATGGGTGCATTGACCCTGGACTTAATGAAGTACAGTGGACCAACACCAGCTGATGACATGGCTCCCCAAATAAACACAGACTGTGGAAACTTCACACTGGACTTCAAGCATCTGGCATTGTGTGACTCCCCATTCTTCCTCCAGACTCTGGGTCCTTGGTTTCCAAATGAGATGCAAAAGCTGCTCTCATCAGAAAAGAGATTTGGGTTGTTCTGTAGGATTTCAGAGGAGCATTTTCCAACTTCTACGTGGAGATGCCAGCAGGGATGAACCAGGGAGCTTTGGTTACTACTGTGCTGTGGTCCACTCTCAGATTTGGCTGAGAGACCATGATAAGCCCTAAGGCTACCCAGAGAACTCATATTTGATTACTACTACTCCCCACCCCCAAAGAATGTGACAAAAGGCAATGGGGGGGGGAATCATTAATTGTGCCAGCATTCATTCCTTTCTGTACAAAACAAAGACCTCACAAAATAAAGAAAACTGAAAATAAGGTAATAAGGATCAACATGCCATTTCAGTTTTATGGTGCTAGAATATTTCCTTTTATAAACTGAATTGAAACCATTTATTTATTTTTTCTATAACATTATTCTAATTAGGAAGTCTAGCATACCTCAGATGCCTAGTTCTTGAGTTTATAAATGTACTATATAGCCTGTTTATGCAGAATACATTATGACTCTATTTCACAGTCCTGCTGTAGATGGAACAATGGATATTATAATTTCAGTGCATGCGGCCTCTTCCGAAACATGTATACATTTTAGTGACTGAAAGCAAAAAGAAAATCAACTGCTACTAGTTTATCGTTTGTTCATAATGTCTTAGAATTGTATATAGCTATACACAATACACAGTATTGCATCAGAAAGTACTCCCAAACGTGTATTTTCATTGATGAAGGTAACATCTTTCATTTTGCATGTTTAAAACAACGAGTTACCTGATAGCATTCTCCTTTCAGATTGTCCAAGACATCTCCACATGTTTTGCGCATATATTTTCGACACCCGTCAATCACCATTTGGTCAATGTATCTGATGCTAATTAAGAATCCACCAACTCATTTTGTTGCAGTTATTAAAATAAGTTATTTAGTTTTGCTTCAGAATAGTAAGGTTTAGATTCCATAATCAATAGACAACTGTTTCAGACAACTCTTAAATACATGTTATTGACAACTGTATTAAACATTCCTTTATAGGTAGCTAATTATCTGACACATAGTCCTAATTTTAAAATATACTTAGCATGGCTCAGAAAGTTTAAATTTGCTGCATAATCATAAATGGCCAACATTTAAGTATCTTGGTCAAACGATCTACTAAAGTCTATCTGAATTAGGACAATCTGAGCCAGATTTATGGTGCCCGACACACAATGCAGAACGTAAGATGGTTCTGAGAGGTGCTTGCATTAATCGTCTGATCTATTTTGATCTTTGAGAACAGAATGCACAGGGAGAAATCATGACAAAACATTTTCAAAATGAACCGTCACCCACTTATTAAAAGGATATCTCTACCATGGTGACCATCTTTGGTTTCAATTTGACTATTTCATACAGTATTCCCCCATCACCACCTCCAAGAATGAGGACTTCTTTGTCTGTGTAGTCTTCCTTCCCGCTGCCCATTATAGCTTGTGTATATGCCAGGTCACTCTCTGCCAGATCTTGAAAAGTGCAGGGATTAAAAGATATATGTGAGCATGTTATAACAAAGTTATTTTGTTCGTGATAAATAAGAACATAAAGTTAGACCCGCTTGCATTTACATTTCAGAAATCCACAATGACTTTATTATTATTTTAAAGTAAATCATTCAGACTAATTAAAGGGGGGGGACAAGAAATGTTATAACAGATTTAGAAAAATAAAACCTGCGGTTTTACATTTCTATCTAAAGTTATTCACTAAAGTACAAGAGGAATGTCAAATATCTATTAATGGCTATGTCACTGTTATTCCCTGATGTATACGAACATAATTTGTTTATATACATCACTGGTGGGAAAACTGGGGGGTACATGCAACCCCCCAGTCCTCTCCCCATGTGCCTTCCTTGTGTGTGGCCTTCTCCTGACCCCCTGTAACTCATTCTCCCCCTCAGTCCATCAAACAGCTGATTGGTGGGTTCAGAGGAGCCTGATCTCTTCCTGCTGGGGTGAAGAGAGCTCTGTTCTTCTTTAGCTCAGCAAGGAAAGGCCCTGAAAGCAAGGCTCATGGTACTTTCAAAAAATGTGTGTCTGTGTGTTCGAGCCCCACATTGGGCAAAAGATTCCTGCATTGCAGGTGGTTGGACTGGATGACCTTCGTACTCCTCTTCCAACTCTACAATTCTTCATTAATTGACTAAATCAGGAAGACAGTCTCCTTTCTCTCCAAACTCGAATACTGGGACACGCATTTCAAGCCCACTTGTGTGTCTGCCATCAAGAAGTACCTGATTCAATGGACCACATTCTCTTAGATTGCCCTTTACACAGCAGACCTCGCCAACTGATGCTGAGCACCAAGAAGAAGCCAAATAAGGTTTCTCCTGGCAGATTGGGACAAAGCTACTTTAGTAGCTTCCTTCTGAGCCACAATTTTACCCAAAAGGGTTCCCAACAAACTATCTTTTCGGGAAATAGACAGGGCATAGCAGAATATCCAAATGCACACGACTATAGTATGACCTTATAACCCTTGATAGCTTCACTGTTATCTTTTTAATTATTCCAGTTACTTGAAACGTTTTATACTGTGATGCCAATAAAGGTATTTGATTGATTGATTGATTGATTGATTGATTGATTGATACTGGGACATTACTGTTTGGCATAATCCACCTATTTTCCTACTACAAACTGCATTAGAAATTCTGAAAGGGAAACAAAGCAGCATGAAATTCTTTCAAACCCACAAACATAAATGGTTAATACTAAATCAGTTCAAATACTTGGAAACAGTGAAATCAGATAATTCATGGCTTCGTTTGTGGTTAGGTTTGTTGATCAATGACACACCTAGAGACAGCAGCAAACTGCAAGGAAGCAGTCAGCACCAGCCAGTGTGTGATAATGTTATGCTCCAAAATTTCAACATTCCCGGGAGAAGAGTCCATACCATAGTATGATTCATTCCATTAACATAATCTTTTAATATAGATAGTGTAATTAGTTTTGATAAGAAGGGGAGCCTAAATTCAATAATCAACAGAATCTTATCTGCTATTTTCCCCCAGTGGGTTGAATGATACAATGCTAGCAGGAATGGAAGAAACTAGCTTCATCAGCACTGTATAAAATTTCCAGCCGAATTTATTTCATGTTGCCCCAAAAGATTCCTTTTTACAATTACTGATGGGGTAATATTAAAAAAATAAATAGATATGATCTCAGTTGAAAAACACTTTGACCATAGGTCAAAATATCAGAAAGAGAGAAATTCTGATAATAGAAATCCCAGAAGCTCTGTGGGAAACCGACACAATTTAGAGCCCGCAAAGGTAAAAGCTGCCATCCAGAGGTTCAAGAAAACCTTCTGCAATTACTGCCTGTCCAGGGCTGAGGTAGAAAAAAATAGGGTGGCTGGGTTTCAAGCACAGCAAACCACAAAACATTGGTTGACTTTGGATTGACGGGCCACAAGTTGTGCAGGTCAACTCTATAGCAGTTGCCTGTGTATTATATAAAAACAGCAATACTCACTAACATCCCCACTGAGGATAAGAATATTTCCAAACTGTTTCGAGTGTAAGATTTTAATATTCTGGTAAGCTGACTCTTCATCATAAACAACTTCATCAATGTCATATTCCACCAATCGTCCATCAGCTGTGGGCCAATATTTATCAATAGCATCTCCTCTCACAATGGCTGGCAATCTGAGAACGAAAAGACAAAAGAAGAGAACGTTCACAATTTCAGGTTTGTGCAAGTCAGCAAAAGCTATATTATAGTGAAGGCATTTCTAAAACTTTACCTTCCTAGAGGTACTCGAACACTGCAACCTAGTGTTCCAAGCAAAGAATTTCCATTGTAAACTTTTTAACGTTAGTACTTTTGAGACAATTGCCATTCCTTGATTTGCAGCCCCCAAAAAATGTATTCCATTACTGGAACGGAACAAGAGATAAGCAGCACACAAAAGGTTTTTGAAGAGGTAGTTATTTTTAGCATTCACTGGTACAACAACATTCCAGGCAGACTCTCATGTTGATACCACTACAGCAACAACTGAATTCCTAGGCTGGAATGTTTACATGGAAGCTGCTGTTATATAACTTGGACACAGCTGTCAAACAGGTTGCCAAAGGACAGCAGATAACTGTGCTAGCTATTAATGCTTTTATATACTTTGTTAAATTAGCTTTCTAAAGGTAGAAATGACAGAGCATGTTAAAAGTTATTTTGTTTGTGAACCACCCTTGATACTTCTTCTTGAAATGCAAAGGGTATACAAATTAATTTAATTGATTAATTAATTAATTAATTAATTAACTATGCCTTCACAACAGCAGAAAACATAAGGACAGGAAAATCTGTCATGCCTTTCAGTAATACCCAAGCCATGCCATCTAATGAAACAATTTAAGAGACACTAGAGGGCAGTACCAGATAGTATGCAAACTTCAGGAGACCAAAGGTTTTTTTAACTATAAAAACCAATTTGCTTTATAGACTATTAAAACCAGATAAATATTTTAATATAGAGAGAGCAAACCCACCGAAATATCTCAAGCTTTATTCTTAATCCCCCCTGTCCACTCCTATGCCACACATTATGTATTCATTTACTGGTGCAGTTAAAGGTAAAGGTACCCCTGCCCTTACGGGCCAGTCGTGTCCGACTCTGGGGTTGCGTGCTCATCTCGCTCTAAAAGGCCATGAGCCAGCACCAGCGCAGCACACGGAAACGCCGTTTACCTTCCCACTATAAAGCGGTCCCTATTTATCTACTTGCACTTAAGAGTGCTTTCGAAATGCTAGGTCGGCAGGAACTGGTGCAGTTATTTTACCCAAATAGCCATTGTCTGGTCAACTGGGATGCAAGAGACTGACAAAATGAGCTGACAAAAGGCAGATACTGTGTAGTGTGTAAAGCTTGTTCCAAGGGTACACTGCAACTGCCCACAGAGTAGGAATACTACTCTTGCTTTCCCCAGCATTACCCTGCTCTCCCCGCAGCCAACTAAGCTGTCTTCACTTACATGGTACCCAGGCAAGGAATATCAACAGCACCTGGCTCAATGACAGCTTGGAATACTCTTACCTCTAAGTCTGGAGAGGAAGCAAAACAGTTGCCACCTCACAGAGAGCACACAAGGCTATGCTGATGCTTCCTACTTTTTCACCTGGAAACCTGAATAACCTGAGCAAGAAAAAGCTACAAAATGGTGGCATCCCACAAAAGCCAGAGAAGCAGGATGTTCAGATTACTATCAGAGGCAAAAGGCTGCCTCTCTCACCCCTGTAACCTACTACACTGTATTAGTTCTGTTTTTCTAACGTTGTCAGCCTCCATGCCTTATCAATGCTCATCACCCTGTTCCTGTATATAACAAAATTATTTTCTTGTCTAATCCAGCATTAGGTAACTTGTGCCTTCCGCATGTTGTTGGATTCCAACTCTTATTAGGCCCAGACAGAATGGCGAAAGGTCAGTAATAAAGGAAGTTGCTGTCCAACAACATATGGAGGGTGTGACCATGGTTGCTGATCTCCTCAGAACTTCAGGAAACCTGACAAACCCATTTACTTTAGTTCCCATCAGCTTGTTCTGCAAACAGCCAGATATCATGAATACAGTGGTACCTCAGGTTAAGAACTTAATTTGTTCTGGAGGTCGGTTCTTAACCTGAAACTGTTCTTAACCTGAGGTACCACTTTAGCTAGTGGGGTTTCCCGCTGCCGCCGGAGCACGATTTCTGTTCTCATCCTGGGGCAAAGTTCTTAACCCGAGGTACTATTTCTGGATTAGCGGAGTCTGTAATCTGAAGCGTCTGTAACCTGAAGCATCTGTAACCACTGTACCAGTCTTTGGTCTAGCTACAGATTCTCTCCAATCATTGGAAAAGAATGAAGGCATGCATATGGAAACCCAGGTGGGTTGTTTTTTTCTATATCCGCCCACTAATCCGTAGGTATGGAAAATAATGTCAAATAAGGTGCCTTAGGCCCCTTCAAGTTCAGCTCTCCACTTTAGTTTTCCCCCAACCCCATATATTTCTGTATGGAATAAAAACCACAATAACGTGGTAGCCCCCCCCCCAAGACTACAACTTAACACCACCCAATTATGCCCCCCCCCCCGATTTCAGTTTATTTCATATCTATCCTACCTTTCTAGTGCCTATGCACTATTCAGGGCATCTAACTATACTTGACAATCACAGTATTATATAAAACAACTTATTCAGTAGGAACGAAGGAAGTTGCCTTACAGGCAGATCATGGATTCATCTAGTTCAGTACTGTCTACTGACTGGCTGTGCCTCTCCATGGTTTCAGGGTTTCAAGTACTTAGCAATGCAAGCAGCTGCCAAAATAAAATAAAATGTCTCTACCAACTAGCAAAAGGCAGCTAGAGATGAACCACCCATTTTTCATAGGTTTACTTTGGTGCAGCCACACTATGTCATCATGGAACTCCACTGAATAATCTACAGCAAATGAAAACTTTACTATGTTAAGAAAATGTAAGGGTAAAATGAATGAACTTTGAGTAAAACGAATAAGTCTCAATACTATGTGTTAAAATTCCATATTTGTTTACCAGACATGTCAGTACATCAACAAAGACTTTGCTGGGCAATCTGACCAAACAATCTCAAAATTCCTCACCGTTTTACTCTTTTGATGTTTCTATGACACAGTTCTTTCATTCTTTCTTCTATCTTGTTTAGAAGCTGTGATAAAAAAAAGTCTGGTTAAAAAACAATAGGATCCAACTAAAAGAACAAGATTCCTAAAAATATGATACACAGCCAACTTTTCTCTCTCACCTCCAAAGCCCATGGTAGCAAAGCCTTAGGATTTATCTATTTTCCCTTCTCATTTTTGTTAAAATTAATTTTGCTTTCAGTAAGTTTAGCACTGCATACAAGCCAGCGAGCTTAGTTTCTAAACAAACCAAATCCAAAACATGAGTTATATATAACCTCCCTTTTTTATCATTTCATTCAGGAAGTTTGCTGTTTAGTATTCAGGGTTTAGAGGTAAAAACAGAAAGATCTGCAACGCCTTATATACAAACAGAAGCAGAGAGAGAGAATTAAAACCATTGTGAAAATAAAAATGGTTTTGTCTTCCACTGAAATGTCATCAAGGTCAGTGCCAGGCGATCTGTTAAGGAATGCAGTTAATGGGTTAATTCTCCCCACAATGTACCTACAGGCATTTCTGCTTTACTGTTATGTCTGAAGCAAGCTAGAGGCTTGCCCCGTACTTTTCCACTGAGTTTAATGGATGCAAGAATTAAAACCTAGCATTTATGAAATTAAAAATAAGCTCTGTAAAAAAAATGTGTCTACAATTCAAGCACTACCATATGTATATGGTACTATACCTACCTGCTCTATTTCTCCTCCACTCAAATCGTTGCAACTCTGTACATCGACCAACACCAAGCCATGAGGATAAATTCTCAGATTGGCAAAACTAGACAGTAAAAACAAGAAAAGTGTCAGATGAAAGCAGTCCCCCAGTCCCTACATTCTAAGCACCAACCTCTTCAACAAGAACTGCAGGAAGAGAACCTCCAGCACCTCAGCTGCCTACCTGCTGCCAACTCTCCCCTCATTTATATTCTAATCAACTGTCCTGTGAGCTTCTGCTGAAAGACCACCATCTGAATATTTACATTGCTTCCTTCCAACTGTGAATACTTGGTAAGTCCTTGTGGTTAAGAGAAATTCTCCATTATAAACAAGCTTGATTTTTTTTTAAATGATCTAAGATGACTAGAAATTTAGTATGTTTTGTTTTCAAACAACAAGAAGGATTTCTAAAATATTATCAAACTCTGTTCCATGCAAGTTTGAAGAAATGGCTTTACAGTGGTGCCTCGCAAGACGAAATTAATCCGTTCCGCGAGTCTCTTCGTCTTGCTGTTTTTTCGTCTTGCGAAGCACGGCTATTAGCGGCTTAGCGGCTTTAAGAAAAAGTAAACAAACTCGCAAGAACTCGCAAGACGTTTCGTCTTGCGAAGCAAGCCCATAGGGAAATTCGTCTTGCGGAACGACTCAAAAAACGGAAAACACTTTCGTCTAGCGAGTTTTCGTCTTGCGAGGCATTCGTCTTGCGGGGCACCACTGTAATGCATTCTTCATTAAAGGGGCATGGGGCAATGCAATCTTTAGGAGGTAAAAGACTTAGCTCCATGAATAAGCGGCGGTATCTAATGCCACCAAAATTCTGCTGGGAAGCTAAGCATGCTGCCCAATATCCATGGAAAACTGAGAGCCAGTTGGAAAGTTGTCTTATTCTTGGTCTTTTCAAGCAACTCTAGGAACCTGTTTCAGCTGAAGAATAGGGGGGGAAATGCTTTAAAAACATAAATGATGGAATGGAGGTGATGGAATCAGCTGGCTGGATGTGATCAGAGGAAAGATGTGGTCAATGCAGCCTGGGAATTTATTTATTTTTAAAAACCTGCTAAATAGCTGGCAGATGGGCAAGAGATGCTAGCTGAAGGAGAAGGCAATGAGCACAAAGGAGGTAAAGAGGAGACTGGAAAAGGGACAGTTTTATCTCCTGTGTCTCTTCCTATCATGTCTTTTTCTCCATCCCTCCCCTTCTCTTTCCACCAGAAACAAGGCAAAGAAAGCCAAGGGAGAGGCACAGAGATATAAAATGGACAAAGAAAATTATCTCATTTTCTAGATTAGTCATTTTCTGATTCACACAGAAAGTATTTTTAAATGTCCCCAAGGGCAGAAGGAAGATCTGCACATAGAAATCAATGAAGAAACCCAAGACTTTAATGCAGCTGTAACTTGAGCTGGAAAAGGCTACAGATGAAATAAAAATGTAAGAGGGAAAAAGAAGTTACAAGGTGAAGGGGAGGGAGAAAATGGGAGGCAACAGGAAAAAAGGAACATCATAAGGCTGGGCAAGAGTGCTGAAGAAGAGCTGGGAAGTTTCTAACTTCCCTGAGGAAATCAGAACTGGAGCTCACCAAGGTGCCTTTTCACTTTTGTGAGGGCCCCTGGGTGCCAGCCCTCAACTACGGAGGCAGAGCTAACACCTTCAAATGGAACCCACTCAGTCAGAAGTTCTGGTAACACATTGCCACAGTGTGTATGTGTGTTAACAGTTTTTAATTCTGGAAATTAAATTGTTGTAATATGCCCTGAGAACTGCTGGTGTAGGATAATAAATTTAAGCATCATGCTTGTTTTAGTATTTCTAGTATTCATTATTTAACTTGTCAAACTTAAGTTTAATCACACTGCTTAGGAGCGCTTCTGATCCTAGCCTTGATTCTTGAGCCCAAGGTATCGCTGTGACTAGCAGTGCCTTTACCCAGCTGAAGCTAGTACATCATCTATAGTTACACCATGCTGTAATGGGCAGTATGGAAGCCTCATATGAAGACTGTCCAAAACAATTCCTTTAGAATGCAAAGGCATGTGACTCCTTTACTGAAACAACTGCACTGGCTTCCATTTTGTTTCCACGCCCAATTTAAAGAGCCAGTGATTTGAAGGACCACCAACTCCAGTATTAGCCCACCCGTCTCCTAATATCTTCATCATCAGACACGCTCCTGTGTATCTGATGTCTCCATGAGTCTGCTTAGCCCTGGGACCAAGGAGAGAGCCTTTTCAGTAGCTGTACCCAGGCTGTGGAACTGACTTGTGGTGGAAGCTCATCTTCCATTAATGGCCTTCTGTCAAATGTCTAAAGCCTTGCAGTTTAAGAAGGATTTTGGGATACAAAAGCTTTTAAAGGCCTTTACCAATTTGTATTTCACCTTGCCACAGTTAACTGTTTCATCACTGCTTAAGAATATCTACTTGTTTCAATGGCTGCCTTTTATCCTTTTGTGTTCTGCTGTTTTTAGCAATTTTCACTTAGTTTTTACCTCATTGCAGCTAGCTGTCTTGAGCTTCTTAAAGGAAAGGCAGGACATAAAAAATTTAAATAAACAAATAAAAATAACCTGTATTTGATTACACAAATTTCTGTTAAGAGATTTCACCACTTACAAAAATTAAAAAACCATTAGCATACACACTAGCCAGTTCAATAATATGGTTCCTTTACTGCACAAACTCAAAAACAGTTTCACTTGCCCAATTGTTTTTAAAATGTACGATAACATTCCAACAATTACTAAAAGTCAAGCATCTCAAAGATTCATGTATTCCAGAAATACTTGTTCTTTTCCCATTCACTGGCATTTTCAAATAAACAGGAATAAAAAAAAGTTTTTTTAAAAAAATCATACCACTACACACAGCGCTTTGAATGGCAAATGTAATTAACATTCTGCTTGGCAAAGAAAGTGAATGGCTGTTTTGCCTATATTTATGTTGACAACATGATTAATGAAAGCTTTACAATAGAGCCTTCTACAATTCTGCCTTTTGTTAGAGTGACCCATGAATTAAATGGACCTGGGAGAGATGACAAATATTACTTTTGCTGGCTTAACTTCATGCAAAGTGGCTTTAATCTAGATACAGAGCAATTGTTTTAGCAGAGACAACAAGGAAGCATGACTTAATCCCCAAGCAACTTCAATTCATTTAGCAGCTGCAGCTTTCCCAATGGGGATTAATACATGGTCTTTGTTAAAGGAAAAAATTGTCCTCAGCAGCATTCACAGGAGTTTGAAATTGCAGAGAATGTATGTTCAAAACCTTTGTGGGTATACCATTATTCAGCAGCACTGCTCGACGCTACGGTGTGCGTTAATGTACATTAATGTGTGGTTTCCAATTCTGACTGACATCTACATTCTGTCTAGTCACAGTTCACAGTGTAATGTATTATTACTATTACCAGTAATTTTCTCAATCCAATTTACCACTTCTGCACTTATTTCCACTCACAAAACCACTTTCTATTATTCCCCTTTCATGTGCACATCATCCACACTCCTCAAGAAGAGACAACCAGCTGACCTTGAACTCAACAGCAACTGCTACAATGGCAAGAGTACCACTGATAAGTGTGACAGCATGAAAATTAGGAGAGACCTTGATCCATCCATTCCTTGCCCTGAAATCATTCAGTGAAACCATTTCATGAGCAGAGGAAGGAGTAGAGTGAAGCCTGGTTTTCCTACAAACAAACCACAACTTTCCAGGCCCACAAAAGATAGGAATCTCTCTCTTTCCCCCTCGTAGGCACCAAGCATCCTTCTTTGGGGAGGGAATTCCATAATGTCAGTGTCACATTAGAAAAGGTATTTTCCCTACGTCGCCTCCCACCTTCTCTCTCATAGCTGGGTGTATTCAGAAAGGGGCTCCAGTAGAGGTTTCTAACATCCAGGCATGTTAAGCAGGTGGTACTTAAGGTACCTGGGTTCTAAGCCGTGTACAGCTTGCAAAGTAAAAAATCAGTACCCTGCATTGGTTTCAGAGCAGCTCTTCCAAAACTGGTCCAGCTAAATTTTGAACTTGGTGCAATTTCCAAGCAGTGTTCAAGGCGCACATGCAACTTGTTGTAGTAGTCTAAATGGAACTTTCCATATCATGGAACACTGTATTTAAATAACTCCCAGTCCAGGAGAAATCACAGCTGACCTGACTGCTCCACTCCCACTAGTTGTTTAAAAGGGGGGGGAATCCACACTAAATATTAATGGAACACCTAACAGACTGGCTCCTCCAGTAAATACCAAGCTGACCTTTAATATCTTCTGAGGATACCATGCTGTTCCACAACCAGCAGATTGTCACTTGGTGAAAATGTAGAATAATGGGTGCTCAGTGGCAGCACCCAAACTCCACTGGGTAATTCATGATGCAGAGACAATAGTGAGCTTTAAAACACCTCTTAAAAATTCATACGTTTGTCCAAACTTTCCTAGACTCTGACTTAATTTCTAATTTTGTTTGGTACACTGTTCAGTTTTATTTGTGATATTTATTTGTGTTGAGTTTTCAGCTTGTTTTCAGGATTTTTTATTGAACCTTGTTGCCTGTGCTTTTACTGGTTTTATGCAAACCACTTAAGAGATTTTATTATATCAAGTGGTATACATTTTAGATAAATAAGTATATGAACGAATGAATGTTATACTGTATTTAAAGCCTAGTTTGGCACTTAAACCATGCCAGCTGTTGTATAGTTACAGAAATCTTTGCAATGTGGGGTAGGAAGGAGGGTTTTTTTTTACATTTTACATTGCTGTTAGTAGTTAAATCCAATAGTTCACAGCACTTAAGTTTCACCTGGTTTCCACAAATGCACCAGTTGCTTCCAGAATTACTTTATTATTACAACAGGGATGCAGGTTCTCATTTTATCTTGCATTAAAGCCCACTCTCCAATGGAGTGCTGCAATCAGGCATATAAGTTTTTTTAATGCCAGCACATCAGAAGGCAGTTTAGAAAAGCATATATGACGTTACGCATAGTATTAGTTTTTAGAAGTTTGGATGTTGTTACCCAAGCACCTATAGAAGCAGTAGGAAAGAAGTAGCTCACAAAGCTTAACTGTTACTGAGTGTAGTAACAGCAATTGCACAAGGGCTTGTGCAACATCTGCTGCAAGTTCAAGGTACCTTTCAGATTCAGCTATTGCCCTATGTTAATATGGGACTCCTGCTAACAGAACGGCTGTTTCATGAAGCAAATCTTACAACTCTATCTATCATCAAATACTTATATCCAAATAAGAAAGGCTCTCTGAGCAGTTTACAAGTAAAAAAAATTAAACTGGAAGCTACTAAAAATAAGGCATCAAATAAAGGTAAAGGTACCCCTGACCATTAGGTCCAGTCACGGACGACTCTGGGGTTGTGGCGCTCATCTCGCTCTATAGGCTGAGGGAGCCAGCGTTTTGTCCACAGACAGCTTCCGGGTCATGTGGCCAGCATGACTAAGCCGCTTCTGGCGAACCAGAGCAGCGCACAGAAACGCCGTTTACCTTCCCACCGGAGCGGTACCTATTTATCTAATTGCACTTTTGACGTGCTTTCAAACTGCTAGGTTGGCAGGAGCAGGGACCGAACTACGGGAGCTCACCCCATCACGGGGATTCGAACCACCAACCTTCTGATCAGCAAGCTCTAGGCTCTGTGGTTTAGAGCACAGCGCCACCCACATCCCAAGGCATCAAATACGGAGTCTAAAACAAAACCAGCAGCAGAATAAAGAAAGAGGATACCCAGCAGAGGATAACACAACCGAGAAGTCTCAGAAAGGTCTGTAAATATTACAGAATGCCTGACAATGAATTTTTACACGTGTGAGATTTCCATTTTGAATACTAAACAGTATACAACCACTCCAGTTTTAAATACAGACCCTTCCACAGTAGCTGTTATGCAGGGCAGCTCTATTTTCTTAGAATTATAATGCTAAAATGGTACAAACCAACTCAGCCATGCACAGAACACCACGCTTCAGGGTGATGTCTCATATTGTTGCCAGGTCAGATAACTGCAGCATTCGAGGGCAGAAAAATACCCATTGTTTTCAGTCAGCCAGACATGTGCAATGTTGTCTAAGAATGCGGTACTAGGCTTGTTTTGTAACAAACAATAAAGTCTTGTGGTTTTGTAGGGTTATGTATTCATTTTGTCACTGGGAAACACATTCCCATTACATTTTAGTTACTGTGGGGATTTGAAATTAACTCGTTGAAACCCTTGCAAAAAAAAAAAAGTGTTAAAGCTCTTAATTAAATGTCCTTTTTATTTCACTTCTTTGAAGGTGGATGACACATCTTGACAATGCCATTTACCTGGTTGTTAAACAGTAATGCTAACACCCTCCACAAATTATGGGTCTATATTGCACTCACCTGCCATTTTTACTGACGTAGGTTGCTAAGTACCCATGATCTTCCCAGTTATGAATAGTTTCTGTCATTCCCTGCTCTTGGAAGATGGGCTGTAGACCTTTAAAAACGGCACTACAATCAGCTAGACAATGAAAGAAAAGACACCATGGGTCAATAAAGGCACTTCGATTTTTAACATGTATTCTTTTGATACTTGCAGAACTCTCATCGTGAACATAAAATTAGATTCCCAAGATGCTGGTACTGTAACTTCTGCCAGACATTTCCCCATCTGCTTTAGCTTTTTTGTCAGCATCTTCTCTCAGAAGGATAAAAACAAAGTATAAAGTGAATGTCTAAAATTATATTTCTTACTTAAGAGTAGCAAATTAACAAACTATGTGGCTGCATCTAGCTGTAAATGAAATAAAAATTCCTTCCAAAATTGTGTAAACTCTGATAAAGGAGCTTCCTGCTGGCTCCCGGTCTATATATAGCTACTAGATAGAAAACAAAAGGTCTTTCCTGTGTTTTTATTCATAAATATATTTATAAAATGCTTCTAATGTTGGGGTTGTGGGGAGAGACTTGCTGCCAGGGACAATTGTTTTAGTACATGCAGTTACACAAATGTGAGAAACAGGCCAGTTCATTCATTTTAAAGAGAAAGAAAAATGAATGCAAGGTTTTTAAAAATACAAATTTTAAATCTTCACTTCCTTTTTATATAATGATTCTTAGGTTCTCCTTTGGTTTCTGCAAGCTGAATAACACATATCAATTATAATATACATGTGTAAAATGTTTGCAGCCCACTGCATTACACAGGTTTGTACACCGGGGATGAATGTGGCAAATATTTATCTAGGAAAACAAAGCACATTTCCAGAGTACTATAATAAAAAGCAGCCGTAAGAGAGTAAGGACCGGATTCAACTAACCCAGAGCGATAGCGGAAGCCAATGCAAGGGCTCACACTAGCCCACAGCTCCCAATCCGCTCTGGAGTGTTGGAAGAACCCCCAGAACACATCAATTGGGGGGGGCGGGGATTCCATCTGGCAAACATAAATGCTTGGACTGACAGAATGATCATAAGAGCACAACATGAATTTCTTCCCCATATTCTCTGTACTGAAAGCAAGTTTGTTGAAAACAACTCTATTTCTAGTATAACATTTTTGCACCTCTGCAGCTATGCTCCTTACATCCCACTTGACTTCAATTTGAGTAGTGGGGGAACGGCATTCCTGTTTTTTTAATTTCTGCATCACAGGTAACCATGGTTAGTATATTTTTTCTTTCTATATAAAATAGGTCCTATCTGGCAGAAATGTTGCAAGGACCATTTGTCTATAGCGTCATCATTTTGTTGACTAATCCATGTGTGGCAATACAGTCGTACCTTGGTTCTCGAACGGAATCCGTTCTGGAAGTCCGTTCGACTTCTGAAAACATTAGAAAACCAATGCGCAGCTTCCGATTGGCTGCAAGAGCTTCCTGCACGCAATTGGAAGCTGAAGAAGCTGCGTTTGACGTTCGGGTTCCAAAGAACATTCGCAAACCAGAACACTCACTGCGGGGTTTGTGGCATTAGGGAGCCAAAATGTTCAAGTCACAAGGCGTTCAAGAACCAAGGTACTACTGTAATGATAATACAGAACAATCCAAATTTTCAGCAGGAGCACAGAATGATAGGAAATAAGTCAGCACAATGTAAGAAAGAATAAAAGAACATAGAAGAAACCTTTTTCTTATTATACTTGTGCATGAATTGTAACCTGGGGAGCTAATGAATAAAAAGTACAATGTTATAGGTAAATATTAACTCTTGCTCAGATGAATATCAGACCATTACATTTGCAAAGCCAAATGAGTTTTTATGTTTTCAACGATCTGAATCACAAATTGATCTGCATGAAAGGCTGGCTTTTGTTAAAACGTTCAGGATGCTCAGCCAGGCATCCCTGTTTGTCCAAGTGGGATTCAAAGAACAAGAAACTGACAGATGGTCATTTTGACATGTTTCAGATTTCATTTTTCACCTTTTTTGATAGAAGCTAAACTTCTAGTGGAGTTGGGTGTGCCGGGCAATAATCCTAATCCTTTAGAAATTGCATTTTGCTGCTCATTAATTTTGAAAGGAGATGAGGAACCTCAGGCATAGGAGCTGAATACATAGGCCTCTCTGGCCCTCAGGCTACTTCCAGGTCACACTTCTTTCCCAGCAACATTCTGCACACCCCCCCCTCAGGTGCTGTTGCCTATTTGGAATATACCATTGATATGTTTTCTTGCATACTTTAATGTACAGGTACGTGCATTTGTGTAGAAACGTCTGGCCTATGGTCGAAACAGAAGAGTCACATTAATAGTTTTGCCCATTTTTGCCTCTGGCATCATCCAACACTGGCAGGTAATTGCCAAGAAAGGAAAGCAACCTTTCAGCTGAAAAAGGACTAAAGATGTAATTTTTGGACAGCTTGGTACAAGTTATGCCATATATAGAAAACCAGCCCAAAATAGTTCCTTCCACCAAGTATTGACTTTCATCTGCCTGTATGTGGATGAGATGACTTCCTGGAGAAGTTTCTGGAATAAAAAATACTCGCCTGTTTTTCACTTTAACCTCAGAAGTCAAATTTCAAGAGCTCATATCCCATACAATGGTACCTCGGGTTACATACGCTTCAGGTTACAGACTCCGCTAACCCAGAAATATTACTTTGGATTAAGAACTTTGCTTCAGGATGAGAACAGAAATCGTGCTCCGGCGGTGCGGCAGCAGCAGGAGGCCCCATTAGCTAAAGTGGTGCTTCAGGTTAAGAACAGTTTCAGGTTAAGAATGGACCTCCGGAACGAATTAAGTACTTAACCCGAGGTACCACTGTATGGGACGCGGGTGGCGCTGTGGGTAAAACCTCAGCGCCTAGGACTTGCCGATCGTCAGGTCGGCGGTTCGAATCCCCGCGGCGGGGTGCGCTCCCGTCGTTCGGTCCCAGCGCCTGCCAACCTAGCAGTTCGAAAGCACCCCCGGGTGCAAGTAGATAAATAGGGACCACTTACTAGCGGGAAGATAAACGGCGTTCCGTGTGCTGCGCTGGCTCGCCAGATGCAGCTTGTCATGCTTGCCACGTGACCCGGAAGTGTCTTCGGACAGCGCTGGCCCCTGGCCTCTTAAGTGAGATGGGCGCACAACCCCAGAGTCGGACACGACTGGCCCGTACGGGCAGGGGTACCTTTACCTTTACCTTTACCTTTTTAATAGAGGCAACTCCACATGCCCCCACGCATATGCGCAGTGCAGGTACTGTATCCTGGAAGTGGATCCCAGAAATGGGGAGCACCCTGGAGAGGAGTCCTGACATTTCTTAGTTTTAAATAAATGGTATCCGTCAGCCAGCCTAAATTTCGCAAGGCTTTGCTGATGCACCTCTTTCCTTGGAGCACAAGAACTGCTGAGATTAGGCAGGAAGGGGCTGCCTCCGACAAGAAGGGCTTGTACTTGGTGAAGCAGAAAAACTTTCAGGGGGAGAAATGCTTACTGAACAGCTTAATTGATTAGGCTTGTTGTGAGAATGAACACTGGGGCACCGTAAGTTCTATGACAGAACAGCAGGATAAAAATGGGGAGGAGAAAAGAGCCAGCGTGGTTATATTGTGGCTAGAGTGTCGGACTTAGCATGTGAAGACAAGATTTAATTTCCCACTGAGCCACAAAAAGCAGGTAAGCTTTGTTTGGCCACCTTCTCTGTCAGCCTAATCTATCTCACAAGGTTTGAAAGGATAAAAGGGTGGGTGGAACACACACACAAACAACATGTATGCTTCCCCAAGCTCAGTGGAGTAAGGGCAGGAGAAAAATGGGAGAAAAAATAACTTTCTGGTTTACGGTTACAATGGTATTTTGTTCTGAGAAACGAGTATCTCCTTCCTGCATTCAACAAGTTATCCGTTTCGCCTTGCTCTACCGTTTTCATTAACAGTGCAGAGCTGATAAGCAAGGAACAGACAGTCTCTCTCACTGTCTCTCATACATGCAAACAAACAAATAATACCCGCTGGAGGAAGGCCTTAATTGGAATAAATATTAGGAATTTTGTAAGCTTTGCTCTAATATATGCCCAAACTGAGGTTTTAAAAGATTTACTTTGGACCTGCTGTTATTGTTCTAAAACTTTGACACCTACCACAGCGCCGCCACCAGTGTCTCTACCAGTGATTCAAAACAAAACCTATTAACCTGGGAAAGCATTCTACGAGTGTAACCCTCTGGGCAAAATCTAGAGGTGCACAGGTAATTGCTAGGCAATATATTTGCCTCTGTGATATTCTGCTAGAGGAAAAGGCTTGGTGTTCTATGGCTTAGCTACTGGTCTTCCCACTCGAATTTTCTGTGTGTGTGTGTGTTTAAAATATCTTAGTGGCACTTAAAAGCTTTTGGACTGTGGTAAAGCAACAGCAAGGACACAGCAGAGTGGGAGGGATAGGCAGGGAAGATGGGGGGGTGTTGCGTAACTAAGGATCATTCCCAAACTTGGGCAACAAGATCAGCATCCTAGCAGGCTCAGCCAACATAAACTGGCTTCTTCTGCCTGTATCAAGAGGAATGTTTCAGTGGCAATTACCACTATCTCAGAAAATATCGCCATAAACGTAATCACTCCCTTTATGCCAAAACACAAGAAAGCATAGTAACCCTGTCATATTTTGTTTCTTTAATTGTAGAAATATTACCCCTATGGCGCAAGAGCAAGGATAAATCATTCTTCAAAGTATTTTGACTCTCATGGTGCAAAGAAATTTCCTCAACATGTTAAGTGGTATGTTTTCTGGTTCTTGTACTGCACAAGCTCATTTTTGCCTTTAATTAAATCAGTAACATTTTTGAAAGCTTGCCATTTGCTACAAACCATTCAATTTTTCATTGCTGGGCTTAACAACTTCAGAAGCCATCAATGAACCAATCAGAAATGCTTCAAATAAGTTTTAAGGGATAAGGCCCATTGATCTTCATTGTGGGCTAATTTCTAAGCTGACATCAAGTAAGCCCACAACTTATGCACATTTAACTTGTGGGCATTCAGCTTTATGTGTGTTTCCCCTCCAAAATTGGCCTGTTAAATTTCAGCACTACTGAATATTTAATGTAGAGACTTCAGTTTTTCATCTCGTGTAACTAAATGCAGTGAGGCATTTCACCCAAAGTCTGAGCAACATCAAAATAAAATCTAATCAAGAGTAAACATATTTCTGAGGTAAACTTTTATCAGTGCCCTTTCGTATGAATACAATCCCAAATGCACCAATTATGTACCCTCCCCAGTGGTTTGTTTGAGAGCAGTTCCACAGAGACAATGCTTCAGAACCTGACATCTATAGCACCTGGGAAGTTATTCAGTCTGCAATCTCCATCTTGGAACCAAACAAGATGACTTCATGGCTACATCCTCCCTACCCCCAGCTTTGTGTAACATCTTATCTGATTTACAGTTCTTAAATGCTAGAGAACTTGCCACATTTTTGTAGCTCCTAATAAAGGTAGTGCCCAACTCTTGATTTGGGATTATTTTTTCTTATTGACAAACATGGCTACCTTTGCTTTTCAAAATATTTTTCTGGGGCTCTAACAAATACCTTTCATATTGGTCATAGGCTGAATACTGAAAGAGCAAGCCCAAAGTTATTAAGAAATATTATTTATAAGTATTCATTTTATTTTAGTTTTATAACTATAGCTCATCTCTTGTCTTTGTAATCTCCAAGGAACCACTAATGCGCTGTTTATCAGAATGCTGCTTGCCGCAGAATTTCACTGCATGGCACTTCAGTGTTTTTGTTTATTAATCTGATGATAAAGCTAATGAAATTATAAAAATTAAAAGTTAGCCTGTGTCTGGTCATTTTTAAAAGTGGACATACCAAAAACAAGCATAAACATCATTCATTCTGAATAGATCATTCCCTATAAGCATAGTAGCCATATTGTGGTAGAAAAATATTATGTGGGTCCCTCCTAATGGTGGTTGGCAACTTATTCAAAATACTTATCATCAATGTTCCCTTTACTGCATCAATCCCAAATTACAAAAGACTGGGAGAAGAGGAATGTTCATGCCTAGCACTTAAAGATATGTAAAGAAGGTGGCAGGCAAGCCTCCCTGGGAACAGCATTCCACAAGCAGGGAGCCACCACAGAAAAGGCCCATTCTTGTGTTGCCAATTTCCAGGCCGTTTATGGAGGAGGCAAACAAAGAAGAAATAACCAGCTGCACACATTTAAGATGGGGGACATCTGGACTGCGAGTAGTACATGCAAAAAGGATCTAGATGCCTAGGAGACCACAACTATCTTCTGTCACATGGAAGATGGAGCAAGCTTGTTTTTACATGCTCTGGAGGAACAGGTGAGTGACTAAACAAAACACAAAGACTGCTTATTCAGCAGATATTAAAGGGTAATACCTGCATACAACTGGTCTTCAAGGCAGGTTGCAACAGGAACACTACCACTATACAAAGATATGGTGAAACGTTAAGAAATGGGTCTTCAAATGTATGTTTGGGTTAAAAGTCTGAAAAAGTTGAAGATACACAGAAAAGCTGACTAATTCCTCAGCACTGTTTGTTCTGCAGAACCGATATGAGTAAGGCTGGAGTCCAGTTTGTCTTGCTTGCTATCTTTCAGAGTTAGCTATGCAACACCTATGCAAATGGAATTACACAAGTTTACCCAAGAAGAATTTGGTAGACTAACAAGCATCACAGGCAAACAAGAGTAATTAACTTCTACAAGAGTTTCAGAATGAAGATTGAAGCACACACACAAACTGATCTGAGTTTCAGATTATGATTGTGAGATACTTCTAACACCCGAGAACTTCCTCATCCCTTCTTCCTTCCTCACCTCTGCCTTGCAACCATTCTCCCTACTTAATATTAGGATGATGCTTTCTTTTAAAATAGAACCAAACTGCAGAGAGAGGGACAACAGGGAATGTATCTCAACCACAAACAACTTGTGATGATACAGAATACTGAAATATGGTTCTTCTACAAATGGAGGAAACATGGCCCTCTGTCCCAGAGAAGCTGCAATTGTGTCTATATACCCAGTCGCACAACCTTTAAACCTTCATAGTACTGTTGATTTTGCTGGGAGCTGAGCTGCTACCCAGCTTTGGAATCTGTTTCTTTATAATGTTAATAGCAAGCTGGCCAAGATCAACAGCCATGTGTCACATCCACATAATACATTAAAAGCACATGGCTTCCTCCAAATAATCTAGGGAACTGTAGTTTGTTAAGGGTGCTAGATATTGTAGCTCGGTGAAGGGTATGCTACCATTCCCATGATCTTTTGAGAAAAGCCATGTGTTTTAAATGTATGTTGTGACCATCTGAGTACCCCAATAAAGCTGCCAGTTGTTTTGATGTTCTTTGTTCTAAGCAAGTATTTTTTCCATTACACACATATGTGTATATGATAACAGAACTAGAATATCATGAAAAGAACACAGATTTAGTTGGATCAGGGAAGTAGTAAGAGTCTTCTCAGGTTCAAATTCCCACTCAGTCATGAAACTCACTGTGTGACCATGGGCCAATAGCTCTTTAAGAGCCAAATTTACAATTTACATCACTGGTTAGTTTTGAGAATAAGGAATGGGGGATCAGACCAGGGTGGGGCATGGACAATGCCTTGAGCTCCTTAAAGAAAATGAGAGAGAGAGAAATGTAGCAAATATGAATAAAAATCTCCATACTTTCCTTGAATTTTGCTGCAGTCAACAAGCAATATTGTCAGGTACGAACAGAAGGAAAGCATAGAGGGAGCTAGCCTTGCCTCTTGTGGAAAGGAGTTCAACAATCTGAGAGCAGCCACTGACAAGGTAAGGCATAACAGCAATGCTCCTAGGTGTCACATAGGAATTAGCAAAAATGGAATTATGGTGCTGTAACTGGAAGGCTTAGGTAACTCACTTGCACCTAGAGCTAAGCTAGTTATATCAGGCACACCAGATATAAATTTGTATTATAAGGCGTGCTGCCTGAGCTGCATCAGTACAAAACTCTACCACTGGGATTCAAAGATCTGCTTAGCTTCAAGAGGCGTTGTGCTGATCCTGCAAATTTTTTGATCTTTAGCCCCTAAAATGGTAGACCCCAATGCCATATAACAAACCACCTCTTGAATTTATAATTTTAAAAAACTGTGTTTGCCAGCAGAAATGAGAGCTGTAGTTCAGTGGGATGGGGTTCTAAAAGTTCCCTTGGGCTCACACAGAACTAGTTTCCAGTTCTTTGAATCCCAGCCTATGCATATCACAACTATGAACACCTTTGGTTCAAAAATGAGATTCCGCAGCAACTGAAGCAAGCCCATGATTGCCCAATTACAAAATGGAGCAGCTTCATTTTCCTGTAGTGCAAATAATCTATGAGATTATTTATACCTCTACATGTAAAATAAAAAAATTCCTTCCAGCAGCACCTTAGAGACCAACTAAGTTTGTTATTGGTATGAGCTTTCGTGTGCATGCACACTTCTTCAGATCTATATACCTAGATAAGTGATGGTAAATTGCAGATTAAGGTCCCACCCTCCAAAGCAAGCCCCATGAGCACACCTTCTGCTTCCAAGTAAACAATGAATGGATATAGCAGGAGAAGCATCACTACTCAAGAGCCAGAATTGACATGATTCCTTATTTATGCAAGTGCGATCCTTTACACTACAAATGTACAGTGGATCATTTGCATTAACAGCTGCCATTCACTCACATATAAACAAATAAGCTGCTGCACTTGAACAACTGAGACAAAACATGCCTATTACCATAAAAGTTGCTTTGTACACTTTCCTCCATACATGCACTCTTCATAACATGTTGGTAGCAAATAAAGAGTTGACCATCCTCCCAAATGCCATTAAAACTGGCATGCTCAAAAGACTGAATGCCACTTTTAGAGCTGCTAGAGGGTTTTTCAAAATCATTATAGCTCAACTGTACCAAACATCTGAAACACAGGTTGTAAACTAATTTACTGTAATAACTATGTGGGCAGTAAACTCTTAATTGCCAAATAAAGATTTGAGAATAATGGTCATAAGCTCCACAGCTAGTTCCTTTTAACCCTTAATAAGGGTTGGAGGGATGCAAAACAAAACGCTCCTGATTTCTTTTCTTTGCAACTTAACAACAGAGGAGTCCCAATATAAGACACTTCCTGATCTTTCATTTCCTGCTAGGTTTTTTTCTCCCTTTTTGAAAAAGTTATCATTAACACAGAGGCCCTTCCCCAATATCAATCCATTGAACTCCACTTTTTCTCCCTGGGCCCAGATTTTCCATATCAATAGATCACTTCCTTTCACAATCATCAGGATTACTGAAGAAAATAAGCTGAATAACCTTCGTCACTGTCAGCACAGCTGCAAAAGCAAAAAAAAAAAAAAGTCACCGTCTAAGGGACAGATTAAGGTCACGCATGCGACTATAAGGCGTGCACGATCATCCCTTCCTCGAAAATTTACAGGCGCATACTTTTTAAAAGCCAGTTACAAAGTCAATTTTGCAAGCACGGGCAAGCAATTTAATAATTTTTATGTATGCAAAGAGAGCGTGCCCCCCCGGGGGGGGGAACGGTGCGGAGACCGATAATCGAAAGAGGCCCTTGCTGGTCTATTTTCGGATGCAGAGTGTCGATCAGAGCCTGTGCCCAGGGAAATGAATGGAGAGGAATTGCATGCGGTGGAGGGGGGGGGGGGAGAAATAAGGCACATGCGGCGGGGGAGGGGGGCGAAGAAATCTGTATGGCTGGAGAAACAGAAGAGCGGGGCTGAGCTTCAGGGAATCTGCATATATGAAGGGGAGGAGCTGCAAAGACGAAGGTTAGAAAATAATACGGGAGGGGGAAATCCCAACATGGGGAGGCCGAAGGCTGCGGCTGAAGGCGCAAAAGTTGGCGGCAAAAGGGCTCCCGGTTGAGCCCGGGCGAAACGCGGGCATGTGCGGCACAGCCCTCAGCGGGAGGGGAAGGCGCCCGGCGCGGCTTAGTCAGCAAAGGCAGTGGCCTGCGCCCAGCAGCCGCGGCTGCTCCTGACGGTGCAAAGAGGAGCAGCAGCGGCGCAAGGCAGCTCGGGCCTGCAGCAGCGAGCCATGGCTGTGCAGGAGAGGAGAGGCACCGCAACGGCGCCCGCCCGCCCAGCCAGCCACTCTGCCTTCCTTCGCTGCAGGAGCCTCTTCCTCCTCCCTCCCCCCCCCCCGAAAAATAAAAGGGTGGAAGCGCGGGGTCGGTCTCGCCGGCCGGGGTTAGGGTGGGCAGGGGAAACCCCGAGCGAGGCGCCTCACCTGTGGCGCTGAGCATGAAGTCGAGGGTGCTGTGTCGCGCGGCTGCCATAGTGAGGTAGAGCCCTGTGCCATGCCTGGTGGAGCGGCCGTGGCTGCTGCGCTGCGAGTGCCACCGAGTGCGTGTGTGTGTGTGTTACGCACGCGGGGTTGAGGCCGGGGTTGCCGCCGAGCGGGGAGAGCCCGAAGGGGAGGGGCAGCCTGGCTGGGAACGAATGAGTCGGCGATTGGGGGGGGGAGGGAGAGGGAGGCAAAAGCCGAGAATTGGCTGCGACTCCTCAGAGCCAGGAGGACGGAGAGGTGGCCGCCCTCGCTGCTTGCTCGCCGCCTTGCTTTCTTGCTCGCTCGCCCGGCCGCCTCCCTCGGGGAGCGCGGAACCGCAGGCGCTTTGCTGAGGAGTTGTTGCTATTGTGTGAGCAAGGCGGGCTTTGCTAAGGCGGTAGTCGCTGAAACGGCCTCGCGGTTTACATTCGCCAAGCCTGCCCAAAAGCTGCTTGTCAGGTTGGGGGGGGGGGTTAGGAGAAAAACAAGCTGGGGGGGAGTTAGGAAACTGCCCAAGCTTGGGTTGTTGTAACTTATTTTAAAAGCTCCCAAGAGGAAAAGGGTGCAAGCTTTTGAATCGCACAAGACTCCTTGCCAACCCGTTTTTGAGAGGGCTGGGGAAGTTGCTTGTCCTGCTGGAGCGTTCCTTTTCCTATAGTTCATTAGGATTTTCACATTAGTACTATAACAGCAGGTCAGCCCCTTATTCCCAAGCCCCATGGCCCCTCTCACCCTCAGCTCCCTTATCTTTGCCCCCATGTCTTTTTTACTTAGCGTTTTCATTTCTGATGTTCAGTCATTACAATATAGAAGTTCACATGTTCAAATAGAGATTTAGGTTACTGTGTGTTTGGGTGGGTGTTTGTTTGATAGGACACGTTGAATCGTAGAAGTTTCAGTGGTTGCCTCTTGTCTCCTGCTTTTGGAAATTACTCAATAACCAGTTCCAAAAATGAGCTTCAAGTAGCTTGAAAGCTGGTGTTTTAACATGGTTTGTTGAGCAGAATTTTCTTAGGGGGACGCAGCAACTGTAGGAGAAAAGCTCTATGTGGTAGTAAGCCACTCAACCACAGCAGTTAATTCCAACAGAAAATACACTTCCAGGCCTACTGGTCATACATAAGCCTGTAACACTGAAAGGAAAATCTGCCATCTTTTCCTTCTGTGAAGTTTGAAAACAAAGCCTGACAGCATGTGACTTACCCAACATACTGGCCAGGTATGGCAGGCCCATCAGGGACTAGTGAATGCCAAAACTAATCCTGTCCTGTTTGTCTGGAAGTAAACCCTACTGAATTTAATAGGACTTGCTTCTGAATAGACTTGGTTAGGATTGTGCTGAACCACTCTCACAACTGGGTTAGTTTAAAAATTGAAACTGCTACTGCAAAACTAGCATAATGAGCAAATCAAAGAGCTAATGCTAACACAATATTTCCCAGAAATGAGGTGATTCAGCATCCAAACTAAGACAACAAAACAGATCCTATTTTAAATTGTCTTTTCCTGCATCTCCAATGATTTTCTTTTGAACAGCCATTCCTAAAATCCTCTATCCCTTTGGTGTGGAATGTTTGTGTGTCTCATCCCTGAAAGCCACATTTATTTGTGCCCATTAGTTTTCCTTCCAAGCCTACTCCCTCAAAACAGGCCTCCGCTATTATCAATCTTTTTTTGTCCCTCTTAGCTTTTAGAAAGCTGCTCCTCCCTCCTGAAAAAAATCCTGAATCTAATCACTGAGGAATACTTCCAACATTGTTTTAGAAAGCTATGACAGTACTCTTGGGAGCTGCATTCTTGTCGAAGAATTGAAATAAAAAGTTTGGTGCAGAAAACAGGAAAGGGTGAGCACAGAAACTTAACACTTTCCCCACCTGCCACTTTTGCAGCTTCCACAGAGAAAGCGTTTAAAAAAACTAGTCTTACAAACATGTATCTTGAATTCCACAGACAGTTTGTGGGAAAAGTAACTGGGTGGGGGGAAAGGTTAAGCATCCCCATCCCCACCGCATTACCTCTACATGGCAAAGCAAAAAAAAAAAAAAAAAAGCAGGGTCTCATAGCTTTGGTTTATTGATTTGCACATAACATTGAGTGATAGGCACACAAGAACATGCAGCCAGAACTTACTGAATGCACACAGAAAGCCTCTGTGCACATATGGGTTTCTGTATTCACTATAGTGTCTATGCCTGTGAGTGGACAGAGGTGCCCCTGTCATTTAAGTGAAGGGGGAAGTCTGCACATGTTTACGCAACAGTTGCTGTGCAATGAACAACCTACCAAACTCGTGTTTATTGTAGCTTTGGATTAAGTCCTGTGCTCAAAGTGGGATGGAGGGGGCGGGGAATGAGAAGAGTGTCAGCTGTGAAATCTTTTTTTTTTTTTAACAGTGCATTCTTTAGGAATAAATCCCACTGAGTATTTTCTGCCAAGTAAGTGTGCATAGGACTGCCTTCTCAACCTGCAATCCTATACCCATATAGGGTATGTATGGAGCTTATTTGTGAGTCATGCACAGCATTTCATTGTAACGCTGCAGTCCTACACACTCACTTGGGAGTGAACTCAACTGAAAACAATTGGACTCTATTGTGGGTAAACATGTACTGTATAGGTTGGCACTGTTGGTGGCTTTTTGCAAAAAAGAGTGATCTTCTCTCAGTGTAACCAAGTGGGATGGGTTTAAGTCTACCTGAAAAGAAGTGAGACAGCATCCTATACCACTTTACTCCTACTTTGCACACTGATTTATATCAGAACTATGATACGTATGTGCAATACATATGTGTGGCACTGGGCCAGTTCACAAAGAAGGTTTAGTACATGTACCCTGTATATACACCATCACTTAAGAATATGTTCTGGTTAGATTACTGCAACACGTTATATGTAGAGCTGCCTTTGAAGATGGTTTGGAAACTTCAGCTGATGCAGAATTCAGTGATCAGGTTGCTCACCAGGGAAAAACAGTTTGAGCGTATTACGCCAATCCTGGGCCAACTGTACTGGCTGCCAATTAGCTCAAAGTGCTGGTTTTATACCTATAAAGCCTTAAATGGCTCAGGACCACATCTCCCCATATAAACCAACCTGAATTCTACAGTCATAATCTGAAGCCCTTCTTAGTGTGTCTCCTCCACAAGAGGTCCTGAGGGTGACAAAATGAGAATGGGCCTTTTCTGTGTTGGCTCCCCATTTGTTGAATGCTCTCTGCAGGGAGGGTTGTCAGGCACCATTATACACCTTTAGGTGCCAGGCCTTCTATGGCCTTCTAAATGTTAGTGGGAGGGGGGTTATTGTTTTAACTCTTTATTTTGTGCTTTTATCCTGTGTACTCCAAAGTGCTTTTATCCTGCGAGTTACAAAGCTGAAGGGCAGTATATAAATATTAGTATTATTATTAATAATATTTTGCCCTTTGTGCAGAGACCCTAAATAGTTCATCTGGGAATACTACCATATGTACACAGTATAACATCTTGCTACATATGCAATCACTATACACACCATATCCTGTGTGGAAGGTACATGTATTCAGAGAAGCTGGCTTTGTTTCACTGAAGTCAAAGGCATAACAGTTCCATAATCAGCACTTTAGTAATTATGTTGCAGTGGAAATAAATAAGCAGACCTCTATTAACTTTAATGGTGTTGGAGCAGGCTCTGCATCAACGTGGTTTTGCAGGCTTAGGGATATTAAAACAGCACTAGTAAATATCTCTACAACTAGCAACTTTCTAAAACAAGACATCTCTTTTGCAAGATGTGCCATGAGGCTTTGTTTGTGCATGTTTAAGGCTCTCTATATAACATACTTTTAGACATTGCCATTAGTGAGTAATACATATTGGCACCTACAACTCATGCAATATTCATTCTTGCAGGGATGGCGTCAGCACTTGGCATCCTTGGGCAGCTGCCAGGGCCCACAACTGATGCTTTCCATGCCACACACACACCTATAACATTGTTTCTGGTCCAGCACTCTGAGGTAGGGCTAGAACTAGGAACCTTTTAACTTTTGATCATTGTAGGAAATTAAAAGGGTAGCTAGATCCAGCTGCCTGGTGCCATTTTGACCAGCTAGATAAGCTTGCCAGGGCCTGCTGACAGAGACACCCCCCCAAATGACCCTTTGCCTGGGCAACCACCAAACTTGGAGATGACTTCCCCTCCCCACAATGAATCATAATTTCCATATTTCCAGGTTTCATTTTTTTTTAAAAAAAGTAAGTTCCTAGCATTTGTAGAACCTGAGATACAAGGGGAAACATGTAGGCACTTTTCTCTCCCCCCCCCTTTTTTTTTTTTTGTGAGAAGCAAAACTCCAAACCTTCAGTTTTTCATTACCCTTCACCCCTGGATAAATTATTGTGAGCACCCATATTCATATATTGTTGCACATATAGTCTAATATGCCCTACCACTGAGCTACAGACCTTCTGATCCACTATTCCTTAGACCAGAGGTGTGAAACCTAGGGGTCAGATAGGAGAAACCTGCTTCCTGGAAATTGGCACCTTTATCCTACAACTGCCATATGAACATTCTGGGGTTCAAGGCATGCACATGTACATTGCACATGTGGGTCTTGTAGGTGCTACACTTGATATTCTATCAGTGAGAAACCTGTTCAGAAATGCCTAAGGCTGGGCCTGCATGAACCTTTCACCCTGAAAACGAACTGACAGAACGAACTGCATTGTTCAAGTAGAGTCACCTTGAAAGTTGCTTTGTTCATTAACAATATGCCAGGCAGAATATACCCGCTGTTCATGCGAACCCAACTGACTCTAAGAGTCTTGGCTTTTAATTAACAGAGTTTTGGAATGATAAAAGTGCATCAGTTTGTTACAGGCCTTGTTAAGTAGTTATAAGCACAATTGAAAGTCTAAAACTCTAGTTCAGTTGAGCGCTGAATATTTATTTCTGCCTGATATATTACTGTACTTTGGAAGCACATTAGACTAGCATATTTTCTTTAAAAAATGGCTCCAGGGATGTTATTTTAAAAGGCAGATATAATTGTGCTGTGACCCAGAAGAAGGCTTCAGGCCCTGTTCACAGCAGACATGTCTCTTCCACCCGCCATTTCTGCTGATTTGTTACAGCTCTGACTGCATGTAGTTACATGAAGTGCCATTGGCTTAAGCAGGCTGGGAAGCGTCTTCATTAAGGTTTGGGCCCATTAAAACAATAAAAAATGTAGCATTTACTTATGCTATGATGAGAGATAAAAGAATCAAAATTAAATTAGGTGGTTTGGGTCTTTTGAAATGTAATTTGTAGTATTCCCCATCTAAAATGTTTGGGATGTGTATATATAAAGCTTTTCCTGAAGAGCCCAACCCTCATAACCTTCCCTGCCTTTGCTATCAAATGCCAGCTGGAAAGAAGCCTGACACCACTTGAAGATGCCTGGACTTGGACCTTATTACAGTGCAGCTGCTTTAATTTACTTACAAATTCTTTCCTCTGTCTGCACAGTCTTGTTTCTATTGATAGCTGTTTTATTGGTATTTGTGGGGGGGGGGTTTCCTTCGTTTTTTGTTTTACAGCCTTCAAAAAGCACTTTGAGAGCCTTATTTCAGCATAAATTCTTTCTATAAATGCTTAAAGTTCAGATTGGGAACCAATTGCCCTCCAGAGGTTGCCGGAATGCAACTCCCATCCCATCCCCCCCCCCGATCATTGGTCGTTCTGACTGGGGCAATTGGAGTTCAACAACATCTGGAGGGCCACAGGATCACCACCTTGGCTTTAAAGGCTTCCAGAGAGAGAGAATATTTCTCAGTTGGGTAGCAACCAAGAACACCCCAGCACTCTCTACTTTACACACTGATGGAAAACCTAAGAGGTAGAGAAGGTTTCTCAGGTACACTAGGTCTTTCAAGACCATACATGGCTTTACTAAGGACTGAGCATGAAAGGCAATAAAAAAGGTAGTGCAGATACGGGAGATCACAGCATATAACATGCTCTTCTTATATGACCCATAATAGGGAGCAGGGCAAGAAGAAAGTACACTGTTCCAGAGATGCCTATAAAACAAGGAGAAAGCAGGAGAAAACAAGCTTGTTCCATCCTGCATGCGACAGCCCTTTAGATATTTGAAGATGACTATTATATCCCCTCAGTCTCCTTATTGCCAGGCTAAATTTCCACAACCGTTCCGCATAAGCAGGGATGGGGGGGGAGCTGAGGGGGCCCACGCCCCGGGCACAGTTTTTCCACTTGTACTACTGGCAAGCCAGGTGTCCCCCATCTTATATTTGTGCAGCTGGTTCTTCCTGCCTAAGTGGAAAAACTGACATTTGTCCCTATGGAAATTCATTTTGTCAGTATTGGCCCAGTGCTCCAATCTGTTCTCCCGGATCTGTCTTCAGTAGTATTGGCTACCCCTCCCAGTTTGGCGTCATCTGCAAATTTGACGAGCATCCTCTCCATACCTTCATCCAAGTTGTTTATAAAAATGTTGGACAACAGCAGGCCCAAGACAGAACCCTGCAGCACCCCACTTGTCCCCAGAATGACGAGGAACCATTAGTGAGCACGCTTAGAGTTTGGCCAGTCAACCAGCTACAAATTGAACAATTACCTCATCCAGTTCACATTTTACCAGGTTCTCCACAAGAATATGGGGGACTTTGTCAAAAGCCTTACTAAAATCAAGATACACTGTGTCCACAGCATTTTCCCGATCCACCAAGCTTATGTATATCAAGAAATCACAGCATCCTTTTCACACTGTTTAATTATCTATTCTAGGACCTTTCCTGGCATCAGTGTCAAGATGACAAGTCAGTAGTTACCTTGGTCTTCTCCCCACCACCACCACCTTTTTGAAGTTGGGGACAACATTTGCTTGCTTCCAGCCCACAGAGACCTCACCTGTTCTCCAAGAATTCTCAAAGATTGTAGGCAGAGGCTCTGAGGTGACATCTGCAGGCTTCTTTAGTACTCTTGGGTGCAGCTCATCAGGCCCTGGAGATTTGAATTTGTAGCTAGGTGTTCCCTTACCACCTCATTCCTACTTTGGGGTGCAGCTCCATGTATTCTGTTATCACCAGGTTGGGCACTGCTTTCCTTTTGGGTGAAGACAGAGGCAAAGTAGGTGCTGAGCAGTTCTGCATTCTCTCTGTCATCCAGGAGCATTTCTCCATCTTCTCCATGCTTGCTCTTCTTCTTGCTTCAAACAGAGCTAAAGAAACCTTTTATTATTATTCTTAACCTCTCTACCACTTGTTCTTCTTCTTGCTATAAATTGGTGCAATTCTATAGAGACTATTGAGGTGATATCCCCACCCCAATAATTGCATTGTGGCTCAGGTGAATCAACGATGTTTCAAATTACTCAGCAGTTTTTGAAAATGAGGTCTTTGCAAAGCTGCCACACTTCTTGGGTATGGAAACAAGCCATTAAAGTGGAGATCTGTTTGAAATAAATAAAAAAGCTTTCCCACATATTTTTAAAGTCTTCAAATGGTTTCCTCAAAATGTGGTTACACGACTATTTGCAAATTGTGACTGTTTAGCGTACTGTGACAGTGGGGGAGAGAGAGAGAAAATCAAGATAAAAGCTGATCAGGAGTTAAATGGGAAAGGGAATGATTTCCATCTGTTGTATTATTTATCATTTTCTTTTGCTTTTTGTTTGTTCAACATGCAGTTCAGTAAGCGGTTGCTTGAGGGGACTGCTTTTTGATTTTACTTTTAAGGAGCCAGTGAAGCTGTGTAGAATTCACCATCTGTGACCCTGCAGGGAATTTTGGAATGTGTCGCTTAGGTCATACAATATAGGCACTTGGTGGTGAAGTGTATTAGTGGAAATGTCTGTATTCAAAAATAAAGAGGAGACTGTCACTCTCTGTCTCCCGTATGTTGCAGTTTTTATGCGGCACATTGTAAGTGGAGGCCCTAAAGAAAGCCCCCCCCCCAATAAGCAACAGCAGGAGCATCTCTACAGTCCAGATATCCCGATCAAGCAAACCCAGATAGTAAAACACATTACCTTTTTATATACTGTATTGGATTAACTATAGTTGATAATTAATACAATCTCAAACTTTTCTTCTAAATCTATAGCGTCATCAGACTGGAAGATCAATCCACAAGAAGCAGTACTGCAAATAAAGTATTAGAAACAACAATCAAGCCATTTGATGCAAAAGTCATCAGCATAAACAATGCTGCAAAACTCTATATACTGGAACAAATGCCAATTCCATACCAACAAAGCTTCAGTGAATCACACCAGATGTGGTGAGCCACAAGACCAAGTGAAAAAGGTTGCTAGAAGGGAAGCATTATTCAATGATACATCTATGTCTCTGGAAAGACGAGCTGTAACAGACAGTTATGGTTCAGGGTTTAATGAATACGGAAACAAGTTACAAGGGATTCAAAATGAAGATTTCAAGCGGGAATCAAGCTGTAGTTTTGCAATGCAGCTAAGTAACGAAGACTATAAGAGCAATATGCCATCATTTGCCATAAACCCAAACAGCCAAGCTAAAGAGGAGTTATTTAATTTACGGGGGGGGGGGGAGTTTCTTACCAGTCCTATGAGTTGTCTCCCACTAAGCCACACAGAATAGAACCACAGATACCAATGGACATAACTAATTCCAGGGTGTATCTATTCCAGTAGGAAATTCTGAAGTGCAGAACTCTTAAAGACAACCCTCCATGGCCATGCCTCGATATTCATATACCTTCTAAGGCTATACAACAAAAACAAACCTTTTACCATGGCAGACAATATGGTTTCAATACCAAGCCAGCTTTTCCCCCTTCTCTCTCCCCACCTTCCCTTTACTTACCATTGAGTCTGATGGAGAGCTCTGGTACACTCAAAAGTTTGCTCACAATATTGTGACGTTTTGGTTGTTCGTCTTCAAAATAGTTTATTTTTATCTTATTTTACCTTATCCTCAGGCCAGCCACTTGTCTCTCAGCCTAATCTACCACACAGGGCTATTGTGGGGGTAAAATTGAGAGAAGAATCATGTCACCTTGATTACTTTGGGGAAAAGGTGGGAAGTAATAATAATAATAATAATAATAATAAAAATTTGGGAAAAGACTACATGGGAGGAATTCATGAAATTTCATTCTACCCTTAATCTCTTTACTATTTGTTTAAGAAATCTTCACTATTAAGACTAAACCACCCCAGATTTCTTGAGAGTCCCATGGGCTGCAAGAAGATCAAACCTATCCATTCTTAAAGAAATCATCCCTGAGTGCTCACTGGAAGGACAGATCATGAAGCTGAGGCTCAATACTTTGGCCACCTCATGAGAAGACAAGACTCACTGGAAAAGACCCTGAAGTTGGGAAAGATTGAGGGCACAAGGAGAAGGGGATGACAGAGGACAAAATGGTTGGACAGTGTTCTCAAAGCTACTAACATGAGTCTGACCAAACTGCAGGAGGCAGTGGAAGACAGGAGTGCCTGGTCATGAAGAGTCGGACACGACTAAACAAAAACCACCCCAGATTTCAGCCATATACAAATAAAGCACAATGCTAGGTTTCTTTGCAAAAGGACAAGTAATTTCCAGATTTCTAAACCACAGGCCTAAGCAAAGCTTTGGTCAACAGCCACATGTGACCCTGCAGAGCTAATGGCAGTCTCCAAGGGCAGTGTGAACCAACTAAATACTGTTTAATCATTCCATTCCTTTCAGCCTATATAAACCTTTCACAGGATTGGATATATTTCTACACCCCATACATACCTCCAGCATCACCACCTTTCAAGAGCAGTACAAAAAGCTGCATATTCCAATTCCTGCCTCTAGCAAGATTCATAAAATTCATAACCCAAAGAAGGGAATTGCCACTTGGCTGGTCAATCACTTTCACAGGAGCCCAGGGACTTGCTGGAAACTGGTCCTTGCCCAGGGGGACGAAACCAAGATAACATTGGGAAAACAGATAACATATCAACTCTTATCGCTAATCAATCACCTTGATCAATCTGGGCAGCTAGTGCATCAGCTTTTAGTATTCGTGTAATTTAAACTTTGACTATTGGAGCAAGGAAACCCTACGATCAAGCCCAGCTGTCCTCAAAACCGGCCAACAAAATATTCTCCCTTTGGCATTCAGAGTGATAAAGAGAGCACTGGACATGTTAAATAGCATAAGAATTTGGTACCGGACAGCAGGAATTAAGAGCAGATTGCCATCAGATCACTGTCAAGACTTGCCTCCCAGCAGGAAATGAATTATTTAAAGCTCCATGCATTCTCATCTGGGAGGAAGCCGCAATGAATCCACTAGGACTTGCTTCCAAGTAAATATGGTGTTCTGCTTAAATCTGCCCAAGGACACAGTGGAGATGACAGGTTTCACATAATATTCTTAGCATTTCTTCATAATTTAAATTCGGTTTGCACATTTGGTTGACAGTGATTCTATTGCAGTTAAGTTTCTCTCCTGAGCTTCCCTCATCCACCATAGTGACACAGATGTGAGCAGACAGGATCGAAGCTTGAAAAGCAGTTTTAAATCTTGCATTATTCAAAGTATGTCAACTGCTTAGTGAAACTAGTTAATTATTGAAACTCCTTTGGATAGCTAGTTACTGCTTGGGGCCAGGAGAACAATTACGTTCTATCTGCAGCAGACATAGTTTCTTTTAAGTGAGTTGCAAGGTCAAATATCTAAGATTATTAGAGAAGGCAGATACACCATTTCAAAGTGTCTTTTGTCTGCAAAACCCTCTATGAATCAAAGAGAGAAGGTTAATTACTTTGTTTTTCAGGAAAGCTGCAGTTCCATCATGAATGGCATAACATAGCAGAGAACTCTCTCTGTCTCTCTTTACTTTCTCAAAAGAATGGAGTTTCCATTTATTTTAAAGAAATAAAAACCCTGTCATTTAAACTGTTTGACCTTCACCATTTTACAAAATCATATGAGCAGGAACCCCACCACTAAAACAGAATAACTGTAATTTACACCAGTATTGGCATGCGTATTGAATATTACCTCAGTATTTATGCAGGAGTAGCTGAAAATGCTTGGCACAATTTATAAAGTGTATAGAGAAAATATATTAAACTTCAGCCAGATTTCACTATGGTGTAAAGATTAACCATAAACCTCTGTTGATCACCAATATCCACCTTAGAATTCACTCCAATTTTGTTTTTCTGGGAGAAGCAAGTTAGAAGGTGAATAGTTTGTGTCAGCCCCCAAGCTCATAAATTCACTGGGCTGCAATCCAACTCAAAAATATGATACACATAAGCCTACTGAAACCATTCTAATCTGTGTTGGACTGTGGTCTGGGAAATTCAGTGTTTGACCTTGTAGGGCCACTTTTCCAGCCATAGAACTATCAATATTGAGGTCTATAGATTTGCAACATTTCTGTAAAGCCAATGTACAGCTGTTGTGTAATGGAGTTTCTAACTAAACAAAAAAGTTTATTTTTGTAAACCCAGAGAAAGGTAAGCATTTAATTATATGGTTACATTCATCACAATCAGATCATTACATAGAAATAAACATGTTAACTCTATATGCATCTGAAGTCTTAAAAGTAGGATTGGTCACTTAAAGAAACCAGCAAAGTATTCATTGTGCAGTTTGATCTTAAGCACATCTACTCAAAATGAAGTCTCATTCAGCATAACGGACTTACTCCTTATTAAGTAAGTGAGCCTAAATTATGTACATTCTCTCTGAATATCAAACAGTACTTTTCCATCTGATACAGATTTTTACAATGAAGTATAAATTAGCAATGACACATCATAATTTTAATATTTAAATTGATATCCTGCTTCTATGCCATGACACATTCAAAAAGACTTCCAACCAATTATTAAAAACACATAAACATACCATTATTTTTCTCAGATCAACATAGGCTAGGATAAAATTGAGGATCGTGGTAAAATCATCTGCCTAAAGTAAACATTTTAAAAATGCAAATATAAAATAATAAGGGGGTGGGGAACCTTTAAAAAGGTATTTTGAATAATCAACATATTGATGCAGTTTAAACAGAAAATAAGAGAATGAGAATGCAGTGCAGAACTTCTCTCATCTAGGGGGAAAAATATTCCCATGCAAACAAAGGCAAATGCCTATCTACACCCACAAAAATCCTGCATGTATAGAGTGCAGGACCATGTATTTTAAGCATAAAAGAAGGGTTCAGCATTTATCACAAACATTTCTAGCTCCTAATAACAGCTTGTAGTGATGGCTAGGATAATGAACTCAACATTATTCCTGTCCCCTTCTTTTGGAAGAGCAAGTTTTCCAGCGCACAGGAGCTTGCTAGGACATCTAAATAAGCCAAGTCTAACTCTTCTGCCTTTCCAATAAAGTTTTCACAAATGATTGAAGAAGAAATAATTTAATTTTTAAGATCACAACCATCCAGTCCTGAATTACTTACAGCTCACAGGAAAGTAATCTTTCTTGTGCCATAATTTGATTGAAGCTGCTTGTGGTCTTCTTGTCCAAACACACACATGGATGCGTGCACGCGCGCACACACACACACACACACACAATTTCACTAGTTCCCATGTGCCTAGTATAAATTATCAGATGTCAAAATGAACAAAAAATGTGCTATCGGGCTGTCACCACCCAAAGTCCTAACGCCACATTGGCAGCTAAAAGTGTGCTGCCAGAGAGCAAAATTAAAAAGCCAATTAGCTCCCTGTTTTGTTTTTCGACAACCAGCGTGCTAAGAGTAGCTTCCAGGAAAGAGTTTAATATCCACTGGCCATCCAAAGCAAAGCACGGGACTGCGTTGATTACAGCCAGCGCTCCAGAGAGGGAAATGAGATACCTGGTTAAAATTGGTTAAGGGGAATAAACAAGATTGCATTTTTATATTTTAAATGTAAGATATAGTCTGAACCTTGGAAACACAGTATTTCACCACACAACTGTTTTAACATGAATTGTATTGTCCACATTAGAGAAAGACTGGTAATGGAACACATAAAAACCCAGGAAGTGCCACCAAACATTGTATTATAATATTCCTTTGATATAGCATGCCGCCTTAACATCAATGGATGTTTGGTTTTTTTCCAAATGACCTTCAAAACTCTTGCTCTATAGTCTAACTTCCCCACTCTCCTACCTTGTTCCCCTTGTTCTTAAGTTAGAAGCTTAGTGATTATATATACCAGTTTTGTGGAAACTCTGGCGCTCCAGATGTTCTGAATTGCAACTTGCAAGCGAGGCCAATGGCCAGGAATGATGGGAACTGGGGGATCAAAGGTTCCACACACCTGGTATATACTATCAACTGCATTTCCCAAGTGCCAATCCTTAAGTAACCAAAATGGCACCCTGTACAAATGAGAGGGCATTATAATAGAGTGAGGGGGGCGCGTTTCTCAAGGACTGCAGATGTTAGAATTTTTTTCTAAGTGAGAAGGAAACCCAAAAAGCTCAGTGAGGATGGAGCATATGCAGTGGGCACAGAGTATCTGTGGCAGGAAGAAGCAGTGGAGTCATGTATCTGTGCCATTTACCGTATTTTTCGCTCTATAAGACGTACCAGACCATAAGATACACCTAGTTTTTGGAGGAGGAAAACAAGAAAAAAATATTCTGAATCTCAGAAACCAGAACAACAAGAGGGATCGCTGTGCAGCAAAAGCAGCGATCCCTCTTGCTGTTCTGGCTTCTGGGATAGCTGCACAGCCTGCATTCGCTCCATAAGACGCACACACATTTCCCCTTACTTTTTCGGAGGGAAAAAGTGAGTCTTATAGAGCAAAAAATATGGTATATATATCTGTACTGTTTACATGTAAACTGGGAGTGCTGTATTCTTCGCATAGAAAAGAGCACATGGCAGAGAGGAAGAAAACCTGCCCTCATATTGCTGCACTCCATTTTAAAAGATTTGATTTCCACCCCACCCCACCCCCCAGACCAGCTTACTTACTGAATTGGAGCTCAGCGGAAAACGCAAACTCATTGCAGCAAGAAAACACTGCAAGTTTAAAGATTTGGCTACAGGAATGAGGTGGTTTCACTGCCATCCTCCAAGTATGCCGTTTCATGAAAAGATTAGCCATGCCTTATCCTTGCTTTATGCACACACGTGCTCTATTATCACATCAACATTTCTACTCTCACTTCTGTGTATGTATTTCTAATTCCACATTTCATACATCCTAGAGCAGGGTTCCCCAAACTTGGGTCTCCAGCTGTTTGTGGACTACAGCTCCCATCATCCCTAGCTAGCAGGGCCAGTGGGCAGGGACAATGTGCACTGTAATCCAAAAACAGCTGGAGACCCAAGTTTGGGGAACCCTGTTTTAAGGATAGATGAGGGTGTGCTTCTAACTTGGGAGACCGATCCAAATAAACCAAAAGCTGAAGTTTGGCCACACCATTTCTATTCCATGCCACAGTTATGATCCTCAAAAGAACAAATGGCCATCACTTAATTTACAGCCAAACCTATATACCATTCCTATTCATGAAGAGAAATTTATATATTGCTCACAGTATGGTACTCATTTGCAAAGTGCAGTGAAACACGTTAATGGGTATCATTTGTTACACCTGTCAGCCACAAGCATTATTTAGCATAGGCATGAAAGACTGCTGGACTTGGCAGTGTCTTGCATCCTACAGGCCTATCCATCACAGATACAGCCTTTCTAAGGAAGTTATGAATATACAAATTATTTAGTCAAATCTTAGAAAGCCTTCAGCTTCAACACAGTTAAAGCAGCTAGAGCAGTGATGGGGAGCTGTGGCCCTGCAGGTGCTATCAGACTCCAATTCCCATGAGCTCCAGCATGGACAATGGTCAGGAATGATGGGAGTTGGAGTCCAACAACATCTGGAGGGCCTCAGGTTCCCCTACTTGACTGAGCACTGCTACAGCATGATAAAAAGACAAGGCAGTGCACAGAGTTGCAGGACTCTCCTTACTCCTCACCAATGGTCGAGCTAAAGCATCTTTAACTTGCCAATGGCTCTCAGCCCTTAAACCATTGAATACATCACCTCAGGATTTTCTTAGGTTGCATTCGCACAGCAGTTTATTCCATTGCCCTTCTATTTCTATGTTATATTTGAGCTTTCACACAACATAAAAGCCAATTCTAGAAATCTAGTGGGAACTAGCAGAAGTTCAGCACTCATTTCTGCGTTAATTGGTTCCAGAAATAATCCATTTGCAGCCCCTTTAACCCAGAAAACCATAGAAGGGGACAAAAATTGAGGTGATATACTGGCAAACAATCCTTTCTTGCTCTTTGGATGGGGGTATCGTGGGGACCAGAGGAATGCATGTGAGGATAGGGTTGGAGGGTAGTGATGTTCTCCATTGATGTTTGTTGTCGTGCCTCACCACAACCACTGGTATAAACAGAATATAGCACAACACTGGTAACAAATCCTTAGTTCAATAAAGTAACAGGTACTGCAGTGTGAAAGGAACATTAGAAAACAGGACAGAAGTGCTAGGATTAGAATCTGAAAATCTAACCCTATATTTCACATACCTGGAAAGCAATGTATAAATGTAATAAGCTTTAATTCTAAACTAAATCTACACAACCTAGATAAGAGCAATCTCTTTTTTGAAAAATCAAATTGTTTTGGTCCTCAAAAGTCCTTTTCTGTATCAGAGATATTTGCAGTGTCTTCTCTAGAAAAGCTGACACAAATAACAAAGGATACTTGCAAAATGTTTCCATTACCACAGGCAGATCGATACTGAGGAAGCCGTGTCGAGGTACAAAACTGCTGAGACTCACTTTAAAGAATAACAAAAAAGAAAGTTTTACAAGCCTACGAAAATGAAGAACATTTTGGCAGAATACAAACATCTCTCATTTCTGAGCATTCATGACAAATATAGCTTTTGTTCTCCTATACTATTGCCAATGTAGTCATACATTAATGAGCTCTATTTTATGAGAACATTAGGCCTAAGCATATGATGTGCTTGTGGCTACTTTACAATTGAGCAATTGTACTTCTTATTATCAAAGACTATAAAGCAAATATTCTTATTTGAAGTACCACAGATGCAATTATGACAGCAGAAAAGGCAGCAACAAACAGGAAATGGATTCCATTCCAACTCAATTGTTTGGTGTCAGAGCTTAACTTCAAGCTAGGAAGAAATGGTAAGGAAGGTAAAAGTAGGAAGAGGAATAATCTACATTGTTGAGAGGATTATCCCTGCTCTTTGAAATTTGTTTTTAAGCCCAAAGGTACAAACTTTAAGCATTCAGAGAAGTCTGATTAAAAACATGATTTGCTGCCAGAATCAGGGCTCTCCTTCTCCTTCTTCTTCTTCTAGATCCCTGCTTCCTCCCAAGGGAGCCCAAGGTGGCAAACAACAAGGCAGCAAAGCAACACAATTAAATACAAAGTCTATAAAAAACATTTTTAAGAGCATTAAGAACAACTAAAAACAATAATGTATTTTCCCAGCTAATGATTTCAGCTTTGCCAGGAACAGTATCTTTCAGCCTGGGTGAATTGTTTTAAAATTCCCCCTGAAATTAATAACGAGGGAGACAGATGCCCCTCACCAGGGAGGGCATTCCAGAAGTAAAGAACCACCACCAAGAAGGCCCTGTCATGGGTAAAGATATTAGTTTAAAATAAATGACAGCATGTTAAACTTAGACAGCCTGTGGAAATCAAATGGAAGTGTGATATGGGCATATCTAAAGATCTGGTAGCAATATTTTCAGATACCTGAACCATACCACCTACCTAGGCCCAATTATCTGTTTACGCATCCCCAAGTATAAAAAAGATTGTTTGAATCAACAGGTATGAAAGGCATGCTTACAAAATAAAGCCCAGTATCTTTAAAGTTTAGAGAACTTTAAATCTTTTCCATGTTACCACATCTAAGTTAAGTTTTTTTAAACACATGAAGCAGGGGCTTGGGCTAGATGACCCTTGAGGTCCCTTCCAATTACTTCATTTACTGCAACTGCTCAAGGGGAGGAAGGAAGAGGTGAGTGCAGTTTCGAGTCTTACTCAGAAAACAGGCTCAAGAGCCATTGACATATCACACAGATAAAGAACTGCTAAAGGTGGGGGGGGGTGGCTGAATTCAATGGAAGCTACACCAGCAACTTGCCAACAAATTTCCTATGAAGTTTAGTTAGCTCAGCTTTGTTTATAATCTCCCTGCAAAATCATACCAACCTGTATACTGGAGATGCAGCGGGTGCCCAACAAACAGCATATCCATCTGAGGTGGATGTTTCACTCGGATAAGCCTAGTTTGGTTTTCCAGAGAAGGCGTCACACACAAACTTGGAACAAACTCCCTCCGGCAATCCGTATTGGTTCGGCAAAGTTGGCTGGCCTCAATAGCTTTCCGTGCTGGCAGACAGGCATACTGGACCTGGGATGTTACATAAACATTCAGGTAGAGACTATAACAGTGGAAGAAGAGCTTGCTGGATCAGGCCAATGGCCCATCTAGTCCAGCATCCTGTTCTCACAGTGGCCAACCAGATGCCTGTGGAAAACCAGCAAGCGGGATTTGACTACAAGAGCCCTCTCCCCTCTCCTGTCACTTCCAGCAACTGCTGTTCAGAAGCATTGCTCCCTCTGACCTTGGAGGCAGAGAATAGCCATCATAACTAGTTAGTAGCAATTGATAGCCTTCTCCTGCATGAATCTGTACAATCCTTTTCCAAACCCACCCAAGTTTGTGGCAATCACTGCATTCTGTCAGAGTAAGTTCCATAGTTTTAACTATGTGCTGTGTGAATAATTGCTTTTATATGTTCTGAATCTTCCAACATTCAGCTAATTGGATGTCCATGAGTTCTAACGTTATGAGATAGAGAAAAGCTTTTTTCCTATCCACTTTCTCCCTGCCATGTGTCATTTTATAAACTTCTATCATGTCGCCTCTTTCCTTTTCTCTAAAGTGAAAAGTCCCAAATGCTGAAACTTTTCCCTATAAGGGAGCCACTTCATGTGCACGTTCACAAGCACTTTTCACTGCATGTGTCTTCTTCAAACACAAAGCTGGACTTCAGGGAATGGCTGTGAACCAGTTATTCTAGTTTTGACATGCATATTCCTTTTATCACCACTTGCTCCAAGCTACAGCCCCATAGGCATACATGATCTTCTTGACATTACTTATTAAAATAATTTATGAACTATCTTTCATTTTAAAAAGAAATGCCGAGGCAGTTTAGAAACACACACACACAACTCCCAGCAACAAAATATTGCAATAAAACAAAGTTAAAAATATTGATCAGAGTAACCAGGCCAAGTAAAACCAGGTAAAACAGGTATTTTCCATTGTTGGCAGAAACATACAACAGTTAGAGCTTGCCAGGTCTCCACAAGGAATTGTTCTGGAAAGTAATTATCACCGTGGAGAAAGTAATCAGTCTACAACACTGTAATTATGGGCACGGCAGACTGTGAGGTGGTTAATAGGACTTCTTTTGCAGGCCACAGCTGCTGCACTGGACCATATGGAAGAAGGCTTTCTCTCTAGAAACCTGGCCACAAGCTGCTTAGGACCTTCAAAACCAGTACGGTAAAGGTAAAGGGACCCCTGACCGTTAGGTCCAGTCGCAGACGACTCTGGGGTTGCGGCGCTCATCTTGCTTTATTGGCCGAGGGAGCCGGCGTACAGCTCCGGGTCATGTGGCCAGCATGACTAAGCCGCTTCTGGCAAACCAGAGCAGCGCACAGAAATGGCGTTTACCTTCCCGCCGGAGTGATACCTATTTATCTACTTGCACTTTGACATGCATTCAAACTGCTAGGTGGGCAGGAGCTAGGACTGAGCAACGGGAGCTCACCCCATCGCGGGGATTTGAACCGCTGACCTTCTGATCAGCAAGCCCTAGGCCCTAGGCCACCCGCGTCCCCTCAAAACCAGTACCCACCCTTAAATTTAGTTACATGGCTGCCAATTTAGCTCTCTTAGCTCAGGCCTTAAACGTGTGTGTCAGGAGGTCACTGCAATTTGCTTGCATGTAGGAAAGGATTCAAATGGTTATGTAAACAGAAGAAATATGACTGCTCAACTTCCTTATTTCTGTTTCTTAAGTACACAGATTGTGTTATGAGGATAATATGTTTACAACTGGATTAATATGCCAAGTTCAGTTTAAGAGCCCAACTCCAATGTTTCAAAACAAACCTTGTGGTGCCTGTCAACCATATATATTGATGTTTGGATCTGACAGTTTGCACAGCTAACTTACCGACTGACCGTTTAAGTTATTACTGTATGAAAAGCAGACGTCTGTGAGGCTGTTGTTGCTACAACATTCAACAGTGCCGTCAAGCCTTTTAAAACCTAAAGAGAAACACAACTCATTATTAGATTTTCAGAAATCACAGCTTCCTAGATTTGTACTCCCGAGCAAAAAAAACAAAAGACTCAACGGCCACCACTATCCTTCAGAGAAGGCACAGTTCCCTGTGACGGCTTCATGCTTTAGTGAGAAATGTTGACATCAAATCATGGTGGAGTTATTTCTCCCATATACTTTTGTGAAGGTTTTTTTTGAACAGAAAAGAACACAGTTCACTTGGAACATCTAAATCAGGCATAGGCAAACTCCGGCCCTCCAGATGTTTGGGACTACAATTCTGATCATCCCTGACCACTGGGTCTTATTAGCTAGGGATGATGGAAATTGTAGTCCCAAACATCTGGAGGGCTGGAGTTTGCCTATGCCTGATCTAGATACTGTCAAGGGTACTCAAACCAAGTTTGGGAGATCGTGCTGAACAAACCCACTTGAGCCCTTGTTTTTGAATCTCTCTCTGTATTCTAAAGTATTCAGCTGAATTAATACTGATGCATACAAGAGCCTTTGGATCTGTTATTCTGAGCAAGGGCAAAAGATCTGTAAATGGTTATAACCAGAACCCTTATAAAATTATAGTTACTAAGGGTTATTAGCAAACACACATGGACAGACAAGTTGGCTGAAAACTAACCTATGTTTGCAAGAAAGTTGTAGGTATAGCCACAGCTAAATCAAATTACATTTATCAATGCACATTAAATAGACATAGGATATAGGTAACAGATTTGCCTGCTGAGTATTTTTACATGCACAGCTACAAAATATTTAAACCCCAAAGGCTCTATTTATTTAGATTCATGTTTTATGCTGATCTTTTTTGGCCTGAGGAGAATCTCAAAGCTATTAATAACAGCAGCATAATGAAAAACTGTCATTAAAGTTTATACATTTTTCACCACAGACATAAAAATATATAAATCCTAGGAACTCAAGGAGCGAACTTGTGGATACAGGACAAGAGATGGGTGGAGATGGGGAACACCCTCTTGTCATTTTCTAACTGACACGATGCTACATCAGAAAAGAAAAAGAAGTGATGGAGATCTTGGATAACAAATGAGTAGTGAAATGTCATTTTGTGCAGTGTAAGAAGTATACTTAGCCTCATAGCCCAAAGTTATAAGATGCTCCTGCTAAGACAGCTTAAAGGGCGAAATTTGTGCCACCACAAATTGTGTTCACCCACTTAGATGGACTTCAACATCACTGCTGTTTTGAGAATATGATGGCACAGATGAGGGGTGTAAAGAGCCCAGAAATAGCCCTTTATGAAGTATCCTATCAGCTACTTAGGAAGCCTATGAATTTAGAAACAGCTCTACAAGGCCAAATCCTTATTCTACAGTAGTAATGTCCCAATGTTGAGCAGGACAAAGGGAGATGCATCTACCCCATTCGCCAAGGCTAGGCTACTCTTCCGTTGTCAGGTTTGCACTGCAGAAACTAAAACCACATGACTGGGTTACTCATCTATTTGTTATCTGGCTTTGATCCATCTTAAGCAGGCAGCCACAGAAAGAATGTACTAGGCAGGAAAGATATATGCACAGGCATTTGTTTAGATACTTAAATATTTCCAAAACCAATTTTCAATAGAACCTGGTGGCTAACAAATTCAACATCACAATAGTATTAAAATATATAATAATCCCCATTCCAACCCTGATCACAAGATTAAAATATTGCCATAAACCCCCATACCCTAATACAAATTCCAAGACAGCCATCAGAACTAAAGCGTCAAGATATAACAGGAAAAAAATGGCCAAAGGCCTTGTTTTTACCATCCTTAAAATGACTAATAACAACAACAACCAACAACATAGAAATGACTATACCTCTAGACGGGTAGCTTAGCTGTTGTAGCACTGATGTCTTTATGCAATAGCCTGTTTGTGGCTTCAGAGAGATCTTTCCCAGGCAGGAATTCCAGTCCTCCACACTGTGAACTGAGCAGTCTTGCAGACTGGTGACAAGGTCACCAACAAAAAGCCCTCTGGGCCCATTAGCAGGAGAATCCTAAGTGCAATAAAACATTAAGCTGTAAAACCTGTATGCACCCTTGTCCCAAATAGTGCCTGGATCTCTCAGTCTCTTGCCGTTCTTCCAAAATACAGAAGGAATAACATCTCTAATGGGAGAGGGAACAAATAATATTCCCTAAAAACAGAATAAAATAGGACTATGGCTGTGTGCAGACCACAGTCAATACACACTTTGGATTTCATGAATTGCTATCACGCAAGATATGAAGAAAAATTAAAAGTTTTGACAAAAGTTGAGACAGTGCAATCGATGCATCTCAGTTAGCCAAGTGCCTTAATGTGAAAATGTCCATTCCGGGGTTCATTTTGCTGCCATCTGTCTCCAAAAGGACCCAAAGAAACCCACCTTGACAATTTCCTGCCTTCCAGAAGAAGCACAGCAACTTTCTAAAGTGCTGTATCAACAATAAACTTTTTAAAATTAGGCCAAGGACAAATTTCCTTGTGACGATGACTGCACTGGAATGTATGTGAATCTATTTCTGTCTGGGAGCTTCTTTTTCAGGCCCTTTGCTTCAATTATGATTACTTCTGATTTATTATAGCTCAGCTGGTAGAGCATGAGACTCTTAATCTCGGAGTCGTGGGTTCAAGCCCCACGTGGGGCAAAAGATTCCCGCATTGCAGGGGGTTGGACTAGATGACCCTTATGATCCTTTCCAACTCCAGATTATATGATTATCTCCCAATCTTTATTGTTTCATTACATGAATGCACCACCTTGCGCCATCAACGGGCCCCTGCCCATCCCAGTATGCAAGGTCAACTTGGCCAGAGGCAGTCTCACTGTGCTGTCTACTACTAGTCCATAGTCTTTGAATCCGGACTTATCATTAGTGGTGCTACAAATTTTCTACAGAAGCTCCAGTGGCAACAGCATATCCTTTCTGGCTCTAGGACAAGGAGTACTTTGAATGGGTCAATTAACATGGAAAATTTAGCAATTAGTACCATATTATGGAACAGGGATGAGCAATTTCACCCAGCCCCAGGGCTCCATGAAGCAGCAGCACCAAAAAATCAAGTTTCCTAGCACAAACACTTTTGGGGAGGAGTAAAGAACTGCAGGGCTTGACTTAATAGATTATGGAGGACTCTTTCTAAATACTGAGTTATTCATGACTCTTACCTCTGTGAGTTCAGTGACGAGTGCCCCAGCACCAGTGTAATAAAATGGGAAAAGAACAGCTGGCAGAAAGAAGAGGACCACAAGACTTGCAACTCCAAGCACAAAGTTATGCCAGACTCCTATAAAGACAGAAGGAGCGTATGTGTTAAGAAAGAAAACCCACACTGGCTACCGATGCAACAAACAGCAGATGAAACAGACTCTTAATTTATTAGAACTGGCTTCTAAATTTACTACAGTGACAAACTGTTAAGTGGAGAAGAATAAACCATCCAAGTTATATGTCAAGACGGAAGGTTTTAAAATTAAGATCTCAAAGACAAAGGCAACACAATCCAAACCCCACTTACATGGGGGTAATCGCCATTGAATGCAATAGGCATAAAGTCTGGGTAGATGTGGTTAAGACTGCGCTGTAATGTGCCAGTCCTGACTAAGGCTGTACCTGGCAGAACTTCCAAGGCAAACGCCGCATCACTCTTAATAAACAATGGACAAAGCAGCAGTGCACAAGACTAAATAATGAATGGGAACCAATCCAGCCTCAAACACAAAGGGGCCATTGCTGCAATGACGATAGGTGGGGTCTGTGAAAGGGATCCCAAAGGCAAGATTGAAGTCTGAATGAATACTGAACAGACCTAAGTCAACCTTTGAAAAGCAATCACATGATTCACAGTATGCCAGCAGAACACTGTTCAGAAGGATAGCAAGGACTCGCAATAAAGAGTATGCTTTCATAGCTTTTGGGTGCCATAGCTAGTTCCTTCAGACTCAACTGATCCAGCCACACAAGGAGCACAAATACAGAAGGGCCACGTGTTGCTAGATCACCCTGCACACTATTATTTGGACATAAGAGTCTGTTTGAGAGCTGGATTCGTGTAGCAGCCAGGAGTGTGAGCCAGAAGACTATTGGTTCAACTCTCGCCTCACCCAAGTCACAAACCTTTAGCCTGAGTCCCCATCTGTAATCGAAGAGGGCAATACTATCCTACTTTACAAGATTGTCCATGTAAGTGAGAATTAATATATACATATTACTGCAAAAAAATGAAAACAGATATAAGTAATTGCTAAGTGCTTTATCACTATTACCAGTTTCAACTGGGCTTGCTTTCAAGAAACTGTGCCAAAATTGCAGTAGCAAAAGTTATATATAAGCAGTAAGGCTCTACATCAGAGGTGACAAACTTGTGGCCAGCAGGTGTTGCTGGGCTCCACATCCCATCAGCTCAAGCCAGCACAGCCAATTTTAAGGGATGACGGGAGTTGTGGCCCAAAACATTTACCACCATTCATTAAAAAAACAACAACGGAGAGGCTTACAAAAATTATGCACAGAGGTATGCAATAAAAACCAAATTAAAAAGTTAAAATCAGAAATTAGCTACTATGGAAAGATACATTCTTAATCTCCTGACAGAATAGAAAAGTTTCATCGGGGAAGTTGGCACAGAAGGCACCTGCCGAATCTCTGTTGGCAGAGTATTCCACAGGATTGGGCCATTAACACTACTGTTTCAGTTTGATGTTATTGTCAAATGAGCCTTGACAGCTCAGGACATGACTAATGACGCTCCTGCAGATGATCTGTAAAGCCAGGGGTTAGCCATCCTTGCTCTATGGGGGGGGGGGGAGATTGCTCAGTAATTTCTTTTTGCAAATATAGTTCTGCAAAAGAAAAGAAAAAAGCTTTTATGAAGGAGCAAGTCTCCACATCATCATCCCACACCCTGGACATGAATTGTGAACTGTCAACACAGCCAAACCCACATACCACTTTGGCATGTCTTTCTTTTTCATAGAACATTTTGCCTGACCGGAGGTGTAATTCTTATTTCACATTTCAACCAACAAGTTATTGCAGAAGCCAAAAGTAATTAAACCTGATGACAGATGCTTGCTATGAATGTGTTTTTACATCATCCTTGCACTTCAATCCCAGTTTTCATTTCTTTGGATTTCCTTGAGGCTTTTGAGTTGCCGTGAAGAAAGTAAAACAAACCAGCCTGTTTATAATCGTGTAGCTAAGGGTTTGTCTACATTTCCATTACTAGCTGGCTTTAATAATAATATTCTTCTCCTTAGAGTGTTTTAAATCACATCTGGCTTAAAACTAAATTGGCACATAAATTTAGCCAGAATGCTAATCCTCTTGCTCGTAAGCAGAATATCCATGAACGCTCAAATTAAATGGGTGATTGAGCCATCTTATTTTCCATTTGAAGCCATCCCAACACACAATTTTTGCTCTTAACAGTCTATTTCAATTAGCAAGACAGATTGTATTCCACTATACATCTGCCCGCTTTTCTTAAACAACAACCCATTGCTGGCATGATTGTTCTTGTAGTGCTAAGATGCATGTGTTGTTGACAACTCCAGTACCTTCGATTACAGACCCCGATGTATTAAGCTTGAAGGAGTGTGAGTACACAGCCCAATCTAGAGATTTATGAGCCCTGAGATCTAGATTTAGTTCCAGCCTCTATCCACCTAACAGATAATCAGTGGGAGGGAAGAAAGAAACAACTAGATTTTCAGCCCACCTGGGAGAAGATGGAAGGAACCTGATCAGCACAGCAGGTTACTGCTACGTAGGATCCCTTGATTCACTGTGGAAGTGGGGGCAGGAAAGCTCTATATAGACACATTGCCAATTTGTTGCAGCTTGCATACTCACAGAAAATACTATCTACATCAGATATTTAGGGCTACAGCTTCCATCCTGCTAGAGAATTTGCAGGGCACCTGGTTAGGGAATGCTTATGTACATGCACATCTGCTGTTGGATTAGGCCAGACTCATTGCTTGGCAACACAAACCTCTACATCTCTGCTCAAGATATTTTTGCACATCTTTTTTTCTTTTACTTTTTTTAATGCAGTTGAGTTTCCCGCATTTGGGGAAATCACAGGGGGCAGCACACCTGCAGTGCAATGGATGAGCCTCACCCTGGGAAAACCTCTTTCATGGTCAGGTTAAGTATTATCTTTGCACACCTCAGTTCCAAAAGGCTTTGAACAGCTCCAAGGCTATAGGCTTATGTGATAACTAAACAACTCATCCTCCACTGCTCTACCAGGCACTTCCAGTTTCTATCTGCAACACCGAAATGTTGTAAGGAACACACAGCACAATTTATGTTATACGTTAACAAAAGGGAAAGTTGTTTTACCTGCACAAAATATTCTCAGCTGCTGGATTGGGGAAATGAGTTGCAAGTGGGTGGTGAACAGATCAACAAATGCCCCTGGATAAACAATAAATATAAAGATTCCAAATCCGTTGAATCGAACCTGCTCTCTAAAAGAAAAGGGGATAAAACAAATGTGTAACACTGAATCAATTATTTATTAAAAAATATTTGCATACTGCCTGTCAGGCAAGGTTTTCCAGGCAGTGTACAGTCATAAGATATACAAACAAATATGCAATTATGATTAAAATTAGAAAACAATCAGTAGCCAGATAAACATAAAAACCATAAAGGTAAGCAAAAAGCCCAGGGAAACAAAAAGGTCTTCAGCATGAATCAAAATTGTAATAGTTGATGCATTCTGGGAGAGCTGGAGGTGATTCCAGAGTATGGGCACCACCACTAAATAGGCTCTCTTCCTGGTTGTTGCCATCTGGACACCTGCAAGATGTGGCATATCTTGATTGCAGTGACCCTACAAGTCTCTATTGGAGAAAGTGTTCCCTCAGGTAACCTGGCCCTGAATTCTATAGGGCCTTGTAAGCTAATATTAACAGCTTGAACCTGGTCCAGTAGCCTGTGTAGTGCTGTGGTCTGAGTGTTGGACTAGAACTTGTGAGAGCACAGTTCAAATCCTAACCCTACCATCAAGCTCACTGGGCAACCTTGGGCCAGTCACAGTCTCTCAGCCTAGCCTACCTCACAGGGTTATTGTGAGGAAAAAATGTATGCCACCTTGAGTTCCCTGGAGGAAAGGTGGGATAGAAACATACCAAATAAATTAATAGGCAGCCTTCCAGTCCTTACAACAGCCCTGTAAGGTACATTAGTATTATAATGTTGTACATGAGAAAGTGCAGCTTGCCTAGTAATCTCAAGGCAGAGGCAAGTGTTGAACAAGAGACTTCACAGCTCAGTCTCTGCACCAACTCTCTGGACAGAGGGTGGATTTTAAGAGAGAAAGGTGGAACAACAACTTTAAATGTGTCAATAAGGTAAAGGGGATGGCAGAAAGAATAAGGAGACTCCTGAGAACCTGAGAGTTAAGAGGTGTGATTGAAGGAGATTAATGAAGGAAGGAGATGATTCATTACTCTGGGCCAGATCCCCTTTTATTAATAGCAGAAGCAATCCCTGTCCTATCAGGCTCACAGCAGGTGTTGAAAGCTGAAAAAGAGAACAGCCAGAAGCTGGCTCTGCCGAGTTTGGGCTGCCATGTTTCACTGCAGCTTTCCACACAATGACTGGTCTTCTTTCCAATTTACCTCATGAAGCTTCAGGGCCTACTAGGAGCAATTGGGGTTAACTGTACTGAAGGCTTTACACAAGTGTCCCAAGGATGTTTGGAAGAAGGAAGCTTGTGGATATCCACCTCTGAAACTAATTTCAAAGACTGCAGTTCTCTATCACCTCATCCCCTTGCTGAATCTCATTTCGGATGAGGGGAGGTTAGGTATATGCTCACTATAAACTCACATGGTATCATATTCACACGTAATTAAATCCTCCAGAAACTTTTCTCATCACAAAGTTAAGGGAAAAGTGGATTGCATTACCGGATAGCTGCCACCCCGTGGCCAACTTCATGTATGACACCGCTGATAAGGATAGCTGTGAAGAAATAGGACAGCTGGCTGATGGGAAGATTTACACCAGGCACCTGTTTTCACAAGACACAAGAAGATACAGGATAGCAAGCAAGGCAAAGACAGGCCCTTATGTCCCACCTTTCTCTTCAAGGAGCTCAGGGAAGCTTATGTGCAAGTTACCCCACTTTTATCCTCACAAAAATCCTGTGAGGTAGGTTATATGGATATATGGTGGGGATAGGGCACAATGTCACTAACTCCAGCCCAGGGCTTCCTGTCCCAATTCCTTAACTTTATCCATTATACCACACTGGTTCTCATGCTACATCACTGGCTCTGTCTATGTGGAAACTACAGGAAGCCTATAATAATAAACATCCAAGCATTCTCCAGTTAGTTCCTTACCCTAAAACAGAATTGTGCCATTCCGAATTTCAAGCCTGCAGAGAAGACTGGGCCCAACAAAATCTACTGCTTTGGCCTACCAGCAAACCTCACAGTGGTTGTTTGAAGCTTGCCAAAAGCATGGTGCTCTCCATCATTTCTGAGCAGGCCTCTCTCATAAAACGGCAAGTATGTGCTTTTCCTCAAGCCAAGTGGTAACTCCACAAGACCACAGAAAATCATGTTTCATCTGTGAAACATGTCCTGGTAGAAGGCATAGTCGTAAAAAATGTAGCTCCTATTTTATCATTCAGCATTCATTGTAGTGTTGCATACTTGTTGTGATGGCAAATAAGACAACATATGGAGTGTATCCTTAATTCCCATGTCTTAGTAACTCCACAAGCAACCTTACAGTTCTATACATGTCTACCAAGAGGTAAGCCCCACTGGGCTGAATGGCACTTATGCTCATATAGGTACGTATAAGGTGGCATGTACATAAATAAGAATGTACATAAATTATTTGAAAGGGATGCATTTGGACACATAAAGGTAGGGCTTTTACATCAGCTACTCCAAAATTGTGGTACGGTCCTCTCCACAGGTGCTCAGCTTTGCATCATAGCTAGTACCTTTATTTATTTATTTTTTAAGGATTGCCCTTGTTGAATAAAGTGCTCCCCACTCTGGACTACTATTCTTAATTCTGTGTTTGATTCACATTGTATTTTCAGCTATTATAAGCCACCTTGGCAAGGTGATCTAGAAACAGTTTTAAGTAAAATTATATATGTATTTTACAATGCTAGGTTTGGAGACACCTTCTATTGAACAGGAAATGCCTTCTTTGGAGGTATTGGTTTAAGATTACAGTCCAATGCTTAAATTGTAAGTAGAGCAATAAAACTCACCACAACTTGCAGCATCTGATCATTCTGGCCGGCAGGCCCTTCACTTAGCATCTGAGAGAGTGTCTGCATCAGTGTCTTCCCGAGGAGAATAACAGAACCAAACATAGCAGCTATGCCAAAAAACATTCCCGCACTAAACCTGAAATGAAGGCAGAAATGCTGTCATAATATAATCTCAGTAGTGGACTCCTAAAGTGTGATGATGCTTTGTTGGAACTGCCCAAACACCAATGAGAGTACACTAGTGGGAACTGAAGCCCTGCTTCCATCCTCAACATCAGATGCCAAGACCAATTTGGCAAGCCCAACCAGTACACTCGTTATTTAGCCACAGGGGTGTGGAATCTTCTTAGCCCAAAGGTCGCATTTCCCTTCTGGGCAAGCTTGTGGGGTGCAGGGTTAGAGTGGACAGAACAACACAGGTGAAATTTTACCTTTCTACACTAATCTAGTTTCTTCACACTCTCTAGCTTCCATCTAGACAAGCAAAAAGCATTATCAGAGTACCAGAACACATTCCAGCCAAGCAAAAACACTCCAGGAAGATGTAAAGCAGAGCTCATGATGTAAAACAGAGCTCAGAAAGGTGTGTGTCCCAAAGACCAGATAGAGGGACTTGGAGGAGCGCCTTTGGACCCCGGGCCTGAGGTGTCCCATCCCATGCCTTATCACTCCTAAGTCTTCAATACCAGCAGCATGCATCTGCTGCATGTGATACAAGTCACATACACACATAAAAAGGCTATTCAAGTCTAAAACAAAAGGCTATTCTATTTAGCTATAAAATATTGTGTAAGCAATCAGTCTCAGAATGGTAACTGTTATTACTAGCAGGATACAAAAGAATTTCCAGTAATTGTCTCACTAAAGCCTGAATTATAGTTCTAAAACAATACCATAGATAAAGAAGTCTGGGCTTCCATCTTCCCCAGTTGTAAAACAGGCGGTTGAAGAGCGCCGTCTGCCATCGCATGTGAAACGGAGAGATGGTTAGACCATAGTATGTGAGCCAGTCTTCATAAGATGTCTTCAGGGAGGAAGATGACTGTAACAGAAGGAAAAAACAGTGAGACATAAAAGGTATTTCACAGGAATATTTCAGGGATCTCTATTGCAGCCTTCACATTTTATTTTGTGCTGATTTGTCCCCCCGCTGTCCATGTTGCATTTGTTAGCTCTGTTTGTACTCTCCCACTCCAAGGATGGGCTGTTCTTTAGGTCAGGTAAAAACAAACAACAGTTACAGCTGTATACCCTTAGAGCTCATGGACAGACGCAGCTGTACAATTTTACACATCATTAGCTTTAGTCTAACATACGTTGAACCTAAGCCAATGTGGTGGTGTGGGGAGTCAGACACACATATAAATATGGTGTCACACACCCCATCTATGAAACTCACTTCCAAAATTAAAGTTAAAAACATAACTTTTCAAAAAGACGACAAGGCACACTTCTTAAAAGATAGAAAAATCAGTAACTGCTAGAGTCCAAGAGTGAACAGCAAATCACAGAATCATTTACTACAATGTGCTACTAGTATCACTTATTTTATTTATCTATTACATATATGTATCACCTTTTCTTTCAAGGAGTTCATCTTTACAACAACCCTGCGCAGTAAATTAGGCTGATAGCTTAGTGCCTGGCTAAGGTCACCCAGTAAGCTTCATGGCTGGGTGGGGATTTGAACCCTGGTCTCCCAGGTCATAGTCCGGCACACTAACCATTATACCACACTGGCTCTCATGCTGTGTGTATACATCCTATGCAGACATGGAGTACAACATCTGTCTCCCTCTACCTACACACCTAAATCCTCAACATGCATAGGAATCTGTGTGGTCTGTACACTACAAACAAAACAAAATCCAATGTACTGTATATAGACTATGGATAGGCCCCTGTGCAACTCTGCTTCCTGTGCACAATGGGCGTAAACCATAGCTGTCAACGTTTCCCTTTTTTAACGGGAAATTCCCTTATTCCGAATAGGATTCCTCGCAAGAAAAGGGAAACGTTGACAGCTATGGCATAAACAGGGAGCTTGGATACAGATTCCCGACTCCGTGTGAAGAGAGGCATGGTGGGTAAAAATGCAAAAGCATGGTGGACCGGGATTTCATCTGTAGGAAAAGGAGCGTATCCCAAGACTTGAACAATCACTCTTATTTCTCTTGTGCCTCTATAAGCTGCACGACAGGCAAGCATTGAACAGGAAAGGCACTGGACAGCTGCACCTGCTGAATTTCTGCCTGGCCTTCTTGCAGCAGTTAAGGGCTCTGTCGCGGGAGAAATTGGAAGAATCACTCCTATATCCGTACATCGCCTTTCATTTCAGCAACTCCCGCATTACACGCCCCCTAGTGACGTAGCTTGTGCACGGAGGCATTCGAGTGTGTGCGTGCAAAATCTAGACTTTAGATTATGGGAAGGAAGGCGTATTGCAATCGTTCGGGATGCCACTATAGTCCTATATTTGCACCATCCATAGAGTTTCCTCTTTCTCTAGCCTTAAGCAAGTTAAGTATCGTTCTACAATTCCCATAAAAATTCCTTCGCTAGCAACCGAGGCTGGGAAAGCGCCCATCTCACCTTCAATGCGGTGTCGGCCAGGTATACGGCACACCAGCCCCCCAGCACGCAAACCACCACGGGCATCGGGATCATGTCAGCAGCAGAAACGACACGAAACCAGCAAAACGAGCCAAGCAAAAAAATTAATCCCTTTACACTCCGGAACAAAGCGTCACACGGAACCACCGCGCACCAAGCACATTTCTTGAGCAGGAGGCTTCCGGATGCAGCACCCGGAAAACACGTGCCGCGTGCTGAGCATCACATTCCCCTCCTAAGCACGTCTATCAACACTTCGGGTTCCCATTTGCAAGTGGTGGAATTCTCCCTGTGCGAGGGAAGTATAACTAATATACAGTACTGTATATAAAACTAAAAGCAAACTTCCTTCGGGTGCAGCACTTTGCGATAATAGCGCTCTCCTTAAAAAAAAAAAGAGTCAACAAAATCTATATAAAGTTGATTGTTTTGTTCTTTTCTTTGCCCTGTTCATACATTTTGGGATAGTCCCCGGTGAGGCTCTTGACTTTAAAAGCCGCGTGACGAAAGTAAAATAACAAAGACAAAGGAACAAATCGTCGCCTTTTTGTTGCCCCTCGCCCAGGATATTACAAGCTATGCCTAGTTCTATACTAGAGAGTGGATTTAAGGAGTTTGCATGCTTTCAGGGTGTGTCACAGGCAGAAATGCAGCAGGAATAACCGCTCCGTTGTCAAAATATAGTGGCGAGGAGGCTAAACCTGATAAATTTCTATCTGCTGGGCATTTAATCATCATCATCATCCCCCTCAATCTGTGATGTCAAATGAGCAAAAAGGGGTTTTGTTAGGAGATGATTAGCTAAATATTTAAAATCTACAGGTCTAAGGCACATCAATTATTAAAAGGGGGAGCACTTGCCATCTTTAGATCGGCTGATTTTTATTTTTGCCTGCCGGGACTTGTCGTGGGGCATTTTAAAAGCACAGCAGCTGTCAGACAAAGACAAAAAAACAGTCACTGGCTCCTAGCGTCTTTTCTGTTTCTTTAAGATTGGACTCCACGAACCCGAAGTGCAGGTTCCAAACTAACATTTTACCGGGCTGCTGCCCCGGAAACAAAGGGAAACGGCGCCCTCTTGCTCGAGGGCGTGCGCGTGCCTGGATCATGTTGCGGGTTGAGAAATGAATTTGCAGAGGGAGCAAAAGGGAATTAATTATCCATCTGATTTACAATAAAAGAAAGTGACGTTGCTGATTATTATTCTTTCAAGGAAGCAGTTCTTTCAAATTTAGCGCTTCCTAGGAATGCCGGAGGTGGTGAGCTCTTCTGAACACGTTCATTTTTAAAGTACAGTAACTTGCCCACGTCAATCAAAAGCAAGGAATCCAATAAAGCCCCTTCTTTCGCGTCCGCCCACCGTTGAACCTGATTTGGCTAGAGGCGGAGCAGCCCGGTTCATTTTCCTGCGCGCTGATTGGCACAGTGCCGGGCCAATCAACAGCTACCCCGATTGAGGTTTCCAATGGATCCTGGGAATCGTAGTTTTGTGACGGTGTCGACAATGTGGGCGTAGGCTGGGGCCTTGTCCTTGGAACTATATTTCCAAGAGAAGCCCTGGCGCTCAAGCATATGAGGCTCGGGATTGCTACCCATATGCAACATAACTTTAAACATGTTTAGTTGAGATAAAGGCCTGCTTTGAACCAACCTGGTGCAGTGGCTGGGCTGGGACAAGAATTCCTTGCTCAAATGCCTACTCAGTCATGAAACTTACTGTGTCGCCTCCAGCCTCATAGGCTTGTTAAATAAACTGATAATGCTGTGTTGGGTGAAGGTGCTCCCTGTATTTAGGATTTCAGCCTTGCAGCGCTGCTCTATGCATATTTACTCAGGAGCAAGAGTATATGGTACTTGCTTCCAGGTAAATGGGCACAGGTTTGCAGCTTCAGCCTTCTGTTTATAAACTACATTCCAGCACGTCACATGCACGTTACCTACCTTATCCTCCCAATAGTGGATTTATGGTCCATGGGGTGCTGTGCACAGCTCTTTGGGGCGCCCCTGTTCCTTCACCTAATTAAACAAGATTTTGTCAAAATGAGATGATGTTGACCCTGTTTCGGCCTTTGTACTGTGCTCCCCTCACCTCCCCAAACAATCTGGGATCTATCCCTGCCGTGGGCCAGACAGGAAGAAAGGGTGGTGATCATGATGCCTCTGAAATGAGTGCTTCCCACCTCCCCCCCTCAAACCCCCCCCCCTACAATTGGATTAATCAGGAAAAAGCCTTACTGCTTCCTGCATCCTCACATCTTCCAAAAATCCAGAGAGGTTGCAACTATCCTACTTTTTCCTCTCCTCTCTAATATTGAACCACAACAGCTGCCCAGGAAAACCCTTCCTTCAGCAATTAAGGGGAGGAGTTAGCATCATAGCCAGCTGGAGTTGAAAGTGGATGGGCCCTTTCAACTCCACAAGTGCTTTGTGTTGCAGAGTTAGAAGAAACATTATTATAGGCCCTCTGCCTCTGTCAGGTTGATGACCCACATTTAGGAGGTTGCCTGCACATTATGCTTCATAACTTTCTGTCTAGAAGAGCAAAAGACTTACTTTAAAAGGGGGGGGGGGAGCTCAGTGCCTTTTGGCTCTGCTGGCATGGGCCCCGGTACAATCTCTCCAATTTCACTATTACAAATGTGGCCTTGTTAGGACCCCAGGAATTCCCATTGCTTGGTGACCAAACAACTCACTTTTCATTCACAGCTGTGACTTCACTGATAGACTAAAAACTTTAAAAAAAAACACCCTGACTTGCAGGAGCAGTCAGGCTGACTCATTTAACGGAAATGACTTAAAAGGGTACCTGTACATTGTACTTCATAACTTTATTTCCAGAAAGGCTAGAGACTTTTTTTTCCTATTGAAAGCTCACTCTTCCACCCCTCTTCAGGGCCACCATTGAAGGTCTTCACAGCAATCCTTTTGGAAACCTCTGCCCTAATGGACCTAGGTCCATTGACTTTAATCAGGGAGTAGGAGAAATGAAGAGTAGAAACAAAGCAACAAACTAAAATACTAGGATTCAGCTATGGCAGCTCATTATTTTCATGTTTCAAATGTATCCTCACAGCTAACAATGTCTACTAATAATTTGTGGGGGTCCTCAGTAACACAGGGGCCTAACTGTACACAAACTGCATATACAGTGGTACCTCGGGTTACATACTCTTCAGGTTACAGACTCTGCTAACCCAGAAATAGTACCTCAGGTTAAGAACTTTGCTTCAGGATGAGAACAGAAATCGTGCTCCGGCGGCATGGCAGCAGCAGGAGGCCCCATTAGCTAAAGTGGTGCTTCAGGTTAAGAACAGTTTCAGGTTAAGAACGCACCTCTGGAACAAATTAAGTACTTAACCGGAGGTACCACTGTACCTGTAAATCTGGCACTGATATCTCCTGTTTTCTGCAGAGCCTGAGCTGAAGATTTGCCCTCCCAGAAACACATTGCCATATTTTCATTTGCAAAGTGGTATCTTAAATCCTATAAAAGGTGGGTTTCTTAAGAACCAACTTTTGCTTTTTTAAAAATTGACATAAGCAGAGTGTATCAAAACATATGCTGAATGCTGAGACAGGCTCAGAGGTGAGAGTGGGGGTAGGGGAGATAAAAACAAATGTCAAGTTACACAATTTAGGCTGTAATCCCACACCTGACTAAAATTTCTTAGAGACTGAAGTAAAAATTGTTTGGAATCACAAAACTGAAGTTAGTGAGCTGTATGCACTGTGAAAATAGGCTTTGGAAGAAGATAATTTTTATTAAAAATATATGGAGTTCAATATCCACACCATGGATATTACCAGTGCTTTTTTTAAAAAAGGAAGGAAGGAAGGTGTGGTACTCACCATGAAGTTGTTACAGTAAGTGCCACACTTTTAACGTGGGGTGTGTGTGTGACAGTACTGCGTACCCTTGAGTACCCCCAGAAAAGAAACACTGGATATTACCTGCACATAATATTTCTTTGTCTGTATATTAAAATGTGATGATGGTGATGATGATATAGAGTTTATTGTAATAAAAGTTCACAAAAGTCTCACAAGACAAACTTGTAGTTGTGTTATGTAACAACAGACCAAGACAAAGTGCTTTGCTTGTTCACCAGAGTTAGTATGGACACAACAAACAACTACTGATGTTGCATCTGTTGACCTTTTCAATCAACTGCTAAAATTTATATAACACCGCGATTGCCTTGATTGATAGACCAGAATTTTGTGTCCTGCAGCAGGAACATTTGAGAGATTAGATGGATGAAGAGGACAGCTATTTCCTGTTTATCTCCCAGCATTTGGTACTCAGTGACGCACTGCCTGTAAACACATAGATTCCTTTCCGCTACTGTAGTTAATATCTATTGATACACATCTTCTCTGTGAGTTTGACAAATCCTTTATATATGTAGCATAGGCAGAACAGAACCACAAGAACTCATATGCTTTACCTTACAACAGTCAGTCCACATTCCTGTAACTTCTCTACTATCCACAGACCTAAGACTCAAATACGGTACCTTCAAAGCTTCAAGATCTCCAGAGAGTATGGGGTCTTTAAACAGAAAGGATGAGGATGATAAATGTTACTGATTAGAGGTCTACCTGCAATTGTTTGCTGTGCTCTGTTTTATACACTTTTGTTGAAGTATTACATTTTGGATTCACCCCATTGCCTACACTCTAAGCATTAGAAAATATTGTAATATCAATCCAGCCGCCATGGCCTCAGCTCATCAATTAGGAGCAAGCTCTATGTGCTGTTCCAGTGGCATTCTGCCAAGAACAATGTTCTCAGCTTGGAAGTCACCTCAGAAAGAGGGTGACTGGAACATTTTGCAACAACAGTACCCTGTAAGTAAATAAAATTTCAAATGTGCAGCTAGACCTGGTTCTTTGGACTTCTGGAATATCACTGCTCAAGGTTACCAAAGGATATGTTTCTTTTTTCCCATTTCTCTTTTTAGTAATTTAATAAATGTATTTGTTTTGTTACATCTCTGTGCGAGTGGGGAAACATTTACCAAGACAAATAAACTGGGGGCCCAAGTTTCTTAGACTGAAGCTTGAATCAGTAGACAAAACACAAAAATGGTAATCACTGAACATTTGGACTCAGCCCTTAGTGCAACAGAACAGTTATACTAGCAGGCAGCTATTTTGAAATATCACTGAAAATGCCCCTGCATAACTGGCCTCTAACTTTGTGGTCACCAAACCACATTTGAGTAGCTTGAGGACAACTTTGCGTGAAAACCCAAAGGAAGTGTTGCATGTCTTTCTTGCTCTCTGCCTTAAATAGTTTGGGAACTTATGCTACTCTTTAGGTCCTACCAACAGCAAAATCTGTTTTTTAAATAAAAACAATCCTAAATTCCACATTGAGAAAGTGAGAGCAAAATATGTCCTGACGGTGAGTTTGCTAACTCTTTCCTGCTTGACACTTGAGCCCCGATTTTAGCCATGAGGGAATGAAGTTACAGGATGAATCCAACTCTATATTTAGGAAGAACAACTGTAAGCTATGACAGGAATTCTCTTTTGCACTTGGCTTCTAAACTCAGCACTGCTCCAGCCCTAGAAGTGCTCTTGGTAGTTAGTACACAGGCACAAAGAGCTTCATCAATTCCAGCCACCTCTAAAGGATTCCAGGGAAGATCTCAGCTGATCGAAGAAGGTGCATCACTCAGCATCGAAAGGAGGTGTTTGCATCGACTCTCCTGACAGGTTGGAGTGTTTCTTATATAAATAACCAGGTACATAATAAAAGCTAATATGGGGAGGGGGTGCTGTTTGAAAAAGTGAAAGGTTGACTTGGGAAAACACTTTCATATATTGCTAGGAGATGAATGAATGAACTGCCTTTTCTGTAAAGTTTAATCTCTGTAAACCAGATCAGTATGCTTACACAGGCTGCTATTACAAGTGCTTTATAGTCCATTAGAAATTTAAGACAGTAAGAATGTTAATGCCACTTAAAATTATCTTAAGAATATCCCCTGTGTATATGCCAACATGGCCCCTATGGAAATGTGCTTCATACAGTTAGAACAAAGGCATGTTTTCCTCCACCATTTCTTTATTGTTGTCTGCTTGAAATATTTTAATTTACCCGATGTTTGTTGATGCTGTTGCAAGTACCAGCAAAGTAATAACAGCAAAGTTAGAACAGTTATAAGATCACTGTATGAGATCATAAGCATTTGATAAGAATTGTCACAAGGCAAGTAGTTACAATGCACTTGATGGGGTGCATCTGCATGGCGTGCAGTAAAGTTTCAGCATGGACTTTTCTTCTGCTTTCAGTACATGCTGGGCTCCCAGCGGTGTAATTTCTATCTAGGTCTTCAACACAGCAGAGCTTTCTGTTTATAACACTTGTGCCAGTTTCATGCATACAGCAGGGAGTCAAAGGATGACATTCCTAGTTCCTCTTCGAATGGATCTAGGGTAATGTTATGAAAGACGTAAATTATGGAAGTGCCTCAGGTAGATCAGCTCCTTTAAAGCAAACCGAAGAACTTGGTCGGTGCAAACAGCTGCGTGTCCTTTGGCACCCTCTCTCAGGACTTATTTTTAGATCAGGCAGAGAAGATCACCACTTCTTTGAGTTTTATTCCTTCCCATCCCTTGCGCCTGTTCAGGAATCATAGGGACATTCGCACAATGAAGTCAAGTGCTAAATAGTTCCAAAAAGAAACAACTGTGGCATTGCCTTCAACATGTGGTAGACTGATAAGGTAAGCCATGAACTAAATGTTTGAATGCCTGAAAGATTTAGTAGTATCCAGGTTTTCAGCTAAAAATTGTATTTAAATATTGGATGTTTTAACACCAGCTAGCCGAATACTTAGGAAAGCATTGAGGAGCATAATTAGTTGAGTTTGATCACTCCCATTTTGTTGCATGGAAGTTAGGATGGGGTAGAGGAGGAAGACTGGAGGCATTGTTCCTTGGTACACAGCTGCCCTCAGGCTCTGTGTCACAAGGACTTGCAGGAAGGGAGTTATGCTTGCTGCTACTGTAGCCATACTGGGCCATGTTTCTTCCAGAGAGTTAGAGAAGAAAAAGAAACTATCCTGTGCCAGATCGTCGGATTTATGGGGGCCATGAAGTAGTGCAAGCCTCAGTAAGGTGCAGAGGGAGATACTTCACTCCTTTCTACAGCAACTCCCTCTGTGCCCTATAATCTCTTGTACTGTCAGCACAATCCTATACATCAGGGGCAGGGTAATTATGACCCCCCCTCCCAGCTGCTGCTGGACTACAACTCCCATCAATCCCTATCAGCAGCGCAAGCTGGATCTGGTGGGAGTAGACCAGCAACCAGTGGAGGACACCAGATTCTCCTCTCCTGTGTTAATGTCCATGCTGCAGTACATCTCACGGACAGCTGTGGAGCTGACTCCCAGGTAAATGTGCTCCGTATATAGAATTGTAGCCTTCATGGCTCCAAAGGGTGCCTGGAAGGTCTTGTGCTGGAACTACTTTTTATTTCCTGATATTTCTGTATGGATGTTAGTGTAGGAGGAAGATAGCGCACACCCCTGCTCCCCCTGGTGAAATATTGCATATTTGGCTGCGTTCCAGAAGTCCTGGTGCAACGTGAGGAATATCCGTGCAACATGACAGCACTATCAGCTTGTAGGGTTGAGGTTTTTTATTTTAGGAAGACCCACAAATTGTTGAGCTTTCTTAAAACAAACCCCAGAGTTGTTGAACTTGTGACAGCATTGGCTCCTGTACATGTGTAGTCAAATATAAAGTTGCTGCAGCCTACCATTATATTTTTGTTCTTGGATGTCTAATAGCCAGCAGTTGTACCAAAGGGGAAGGGGGAAGAGAGAACGTAGCCCAATAAGGTTGTCTATTTTTACTCTTCAGCATTCTGTTGTCCTGATTTCTCTGGCAATAATGAGGTCAGCAGAAACAGGCAGGGAAGAAAGATTGTCTCTGCCAGAAGTTCTCCACAACTCCATGAGGCACCTCTATAGGGGCTTTGCTCTGCCTTCACGTTATTTTTGTTACTTTATGTTCATCCCGGAGTTAATATTCCATTTAAGAGCTTTGCAAGCTTAAAGAACTGCTCCTGGGAAGCCACATGTAGGCAGTGCCATGTTTAGACAGAGAAGACAAACTGCAGTTTTAAATAGTCATTCATCTTTCCTCTCTCAACAGCCCATATTAACAGGCCTTCAAGTAGTTTGTTTATCAGTTTCAGGCTGCAGTTGCCTTTTACTTTTGAGAAGATGCATTACCTTCGTTTTAAAGTTAAAGGAATTTATAATGCCTTTGCAAGTTTTATATGGGGCAAATTAATTTTTTATCAACAAAAGCCAGGTTTTCAATATAAGCAATTCCTGATTGTGTAATTTGAAGCGAACATATTAATAAGTAGCTCTCCCATGAATATGTGCCGTTTGATGGAAAAGCTAACTTCTCATTTACTATTGTGATGGGAAAGCGATCTTACTCTTTCTGCCCATGAAAAATTAACAAGGGAAGCTCAGGTGTTCTCACTCCTTTGCAGCATTCTATGGTTGTATCTAAGTAACTCTGAAACTAAGCCCGAAAGACAATCTGGACTGATGAATGAATACCTATCAAGAAGAAACATGGGCTAAATTGTAGTTTATCAAGCCATTGTTGCTCGTAAAAAAAAATTGTTTTGTTAGTAATCATACTTATTTTGCTTTCAGGGATAAATCTCTTCCTTTAAAATGTCAAAACAGCCAGCTTCGAATGTTAGAAGCATTCAGGTAAGAGATAATATTTTATGTTACTAGTAGTAAATAAGAAGTATTTTGATTGAAAACAAAACATCCGTTTGTTTGACGCTTCAGCGCTAACTAGGAATTATTTAAAACTTGCTTGTCATCCAAGTAAATGCATTTTGATCCCATCTTTTCCATGGTTTTACATATTCCATTATCAGCTTAATTCTCTTAACTAGTTTTCCCATGTGCTGTGCCAAGCGCATGCGCGCGCACACACACAAACACACAAAACAACCTATAGAATTTTCCACGAAGCACGTTGAAGAAGCTGGAGAGTTTTTTTTTGTACATCATCTAAAAGCATTTGACTGCACAAACATCACATATATGCCTATGCTTGTGTGTTGCTTACTTCTAATTGTCCAGCAAGATTCACTTTCCATTACTGGCATCTTTTAAGCTAAGCCAAGATTATTTAAGAGAAAGAAAGAAAAGAATGTGACAAGTATAAAAAGCTGAAGTCCTATGCATACTTACAAGTAAACATGTTTAGAATTGCAAAGCACTGAATGCTGTATGGAAGTAAGTTAACCAACCAATCTACATAAACAAGCAAATCCGAAGTATTAGAACTTGTGCCAGTTTAGATTCAATGGCATCAGTTTAGATTCATGGACATCTGTTTTCACCATCCATCTCCAAATACTAATATTTATTGTGTGTGTGTGTGTGTGTGTGTGTGTGTGTGTGTGTATATATATATATATAGAGAGAGAGAGAGAGAGAGAGAGAGAGAGTGTCTCTTGGACAACCAGATTCTCAGTATGCCTTCATTTGCTTACACTGGGTTCCATCCAGAGTATCCATTATGTTCCTAATAGGCCTATGTCCAAATACAGGAAGGGCCCAAGGTCCAGCACAGGCTCTCACTGGAGGAAGGAAAGGAAGGTGACTTTTGCCAATTGCCTCTTTCCCTTGCAGACTTGTGCGCCTCCCACACTGCGTCCAAGCCAATGTTCTCAAGATGAACAACCCTTTTAAGTGTTCACAGTTGTAGACAATGAGATGTACTCAATGTATTAATGTGCTATCATGAATACAAAGGTGTGGGTAGATACCTTGTATTGCTTTATCAAATAATATTAGCTTCTAGGGTTTGCAGAACTGCTATGGCTCTATCTGGATGATCATATATTGGCTCATTTAACCAAGACATGCACAAGCCTTTCATCGGCACACATAGCCTTATCCCTCCTCAGTTATTTAACCTGAAAGTCTCCAGTTAACTACAGTTTCTTATTTGATTCTGGATTGTTCCAAACCGCACAACCATAGTTTTCCAGTTCAGATGGATTAATGGAAGACCAGTGTTTGATGGCTGCATGTCACAAGGGGGGGGGGGGACAGCTGCATATAAAGCCCAGATATAACCATCCAAATTAGGCCAATGGTTGGGTTCAGGATAGTTGTAATGCAAAATAATGGTTTCTACTTACTGTAGTTGAGAGCACATACCATAGTTTGAAGTTCCAGCCCTACAATTGGCAATCCATGGTTTATAGCAGAATGTCTGCATTTGTTTCTTAGGACTGTGAGGGAATTCCACAGATCCATGCTCAAAATCTCTTTTTCCTCCGTTGTCTGGTTGACTTTAAAAAAACAAAAACATTTTTATTGTTTTTTAAACAAATACAAATATAATATCCATTAAACATTTATCCAGCAGTACGGCTAATGGTACTTGTTTTATCCATTTTCTCTGACTTTTATAATCCTATTTTACACAACTGTGTATATTAGCTGTACAAGGTTTGCACATCCACATGTGGAATAGTGAAAGATTTTTCTGTTCACAACCTTCTGAATTACAGCCTATGAATCTGATATCCAGCAATACTGTCAGAGGCATGAAATTACTATAGCTGCAGCTTTTTATTGGTTCTGAAGACAGGAAATATTTGTTTCCTGGTAGTAAATAGATTTATATAGTATTAATTTTCTATCACAATTAGTTTTTAATGGTGGCTAGGCAAACAAAAAAGGTATATACTGTGAAGATTTAAATGGGCAGGATGATTGCTTCTCTCTTGAAAGCAAGCAGAAAAATGTCTACCAATCTCTGGGGAAAATAACTTTTATTTATAGATTGCAGTACACAAACATCAGTCAACAAAACAAAGGGAGCCTTTTCATTTTAATACACGAAGTCAAAAGCAATTATGCAGTAGAGTGTTACATTTATTTTAGCATTTTCAAATTGTTTCATCTGCACTGCATTCTATAAGCACAGGGAATCTACGTTTTGATAAATGACAAGGCATTATTATGTAGTTTTAAATAAGCTCTAATAAACAATTCACTTAAATGCATTGAAACAAACAGTTTAAGTCCATTAAACATGGAGTTTAACTCAGTATTGTGAACTTAATGTAGTTTACAGCCTCCCTTACTTTCCATTAAAGGGAATTATCCACTAAGGATTCCCAATTAACCTTCTAGAGAAATGTAAGTTTATTTTACCACAGTTATGCATAGAAAAAATATTTTCTTTTAAGCCATGAGCCTTGAAAGCAAAATTATATATTATACAAAGTGTGTGTGTGTGTGTGTGTGTTTGTGTGTGTGTGTGTATCACAGATCTCTTTATAGAATCATAGAGTTGGAAGAGACCACAAGGGCCATCGAGTCCAACCCCCTGCCAAGCAGGAAACACCATCAGAGCACTCCTGACATATGGTTGTCAAGCCTCTGCTTAAAGACCTCCAAAGAAGGAGACTCCACCACACTCCTTGGCAGCAAATTCCACTGTCGAACAGCTCTTACTGTCAGGAAGTTCTTCCTAATGTTTAGGTGGAATCTTCTTTCTTGTAGTTTGGATCCATTGCTCCGTGTCCGCTTCTCTGGAGCAGCAGAAAACAGCCTTTCTCCCTCCTCTATGTGACATCCTTTTATATATTTGTACATGGCTATCATATCACCCCGTAACCTCCTCTTCTCCAGGCTAAACATGCCCAGCTCCCGTAGCCGTTCCTCATAAGGCATCGTTTCCAGGCCTTTGACCATTTTGGTTGCCCTCCTCTGGACACGTTCGAGTTTGTCAGTGTCCTTCTTGAACTGTGGTGCCCAGAACTGGACACAGTACTCCAGGTGAGGTCTGACCAGAGCAGAATACAGTGGCACTATTACTTCCCTTGATCTAGATGCTATACTCCTATTGATGAGGCCCAGAATTGCATTGGCTTTTTTAGCTGCCGCGTCACATTGTTGGCTCATGTCAAGTTTGTGGTCAACCAAGACTCCTAGATCCTTTTCACATGTACTGCTCTCAAGCCAGGTGTCCCCCATCTTGTATTTGTGCCTCTCATTTCTTTTGCCCAAGTGCAATACTTTACATTTCTCCCTGTTAAAATTCATCTTGTTTGTTTTGGCCCAGTTCTCTAATCTGTCAAGGTCGTTTTGAAGTGTGATCCTGTCCTCTGGGGTGTTAGCCACCCCTCCCAGTTTGGTGTCATCTGCAAATTTGATCAGGATGCCCTTGAGTCCATCATCCAAGTCATTGATAAAGATGTTGAATAAGACCGGGCCCAAGACAGAACCCTGTGGCACCCCACTAGTCACTCTTCTCCAGGATGAAGAGGAACCATTGATGAACACCCTTTGGGTTCGGTCAGTCAGCCAGTTACAAATCCACTGAGTGGTAGCATAGTCAAGACCGCATTTTACCAGCTTCTTTACAAGAATATCATGGGGCACCTTGTCAAATGCCTTGCTGAAATCAAGGTAGACTACATCCACTGCGTTCCCTTCATCTACCAGGCTTGTAATTCTGTCAAAAAACGAGATCAGGTTAGTCTGACATGACTTATTTTTCAGAAATCCATGCTGACTATTGGTGATCACAGCATTCCTTTCTAGGTGCTCACAGACTGTTTGCTTAATGATCTGCTCCAGAATCTTCCCTGGTATTGATGTCAGACTGACTGGGCGGTAATTATTTGGGTCCTCTCTTTTCCCCTTTTTGAAAATAGGGACAACATTTGCCCTCCTCCAGTCTGCGGGGACTTCGCCTGTTCTCCAGGAATTCTCAAAGATGACTGCCAGTGGTTCTGAAATCACATCTGCCAGTTCTTTTAATACTCTTGGATGCAGTTCATCTGGCCCTGGAGACTTGAATACATCTAGACTAGCCAAGTATTCTTGTACTATCTCCTTAGTTATTCTGGGTTGTGTTTCCTCTGCTGAATCATTTGCTCCAAATTCTTCAGGTCGGGCATTGTTTTCTTTATCGGAGAAGACTGAGGCAAAGAAAGCATTGAGGAGTTCAGCCCTTTCTGTGTCCCCTGTTTGCATTTCACCATCTTCTCCTCTGAGTGACCCCACGGTTTCTTTGTTCTTCCTTTTGCTACGAACATACCCATAAAAGCCTTTTTTGTTGCTTTTAACCTCTCTAGCAAGCCTGAGTTCATTTTGTGCTTTAGCTTTTCTGACTTTGTGTCTACACGTGCTGGCTATTTGTTTGAATTCCTCTTTGGTGGTTTCCCCCCTTTTCCATTTTTTGTACACATCCTTTTTTAATCTTAACTCAGTTAAAAGTTCTTTAGATAGCCACCCTGGCTTCTTTAGGCACCTTCCATGTTTCCGTCTCATTGGTATTGCCTGAAGTTGTGCTTTTACTATCTCCCTCTTAACAAACTCCCAGCCATCTTGAACTCCCTTTCCTTTTAGTATTACTGTCCATGGGATCTCACCCAGCACTTCCCTAAGCTTTATGAAGTCGGCTTTCTTAAAGTCGAGAAATTGAGTCCTAGTATGCTTGGCTGCTCCTTTCCGCTGTATAGTAAACTTCAGAAGAGCATGATCACTCGCGCCTAATGATCCTTCCACTTCTACCCCACTAACCAGGTCATCAACATTGGTTTAGGACCAGATCTAAAATGGCTGTTCCTCTTGTTGCTTCTCCCACTTTCTGGACAATGAAGTTGTCTGCAAGGGCAGTGAGGAATCTGTTTGACCTTATGCTCTTGGCTGAGTTTGACATCCAACAAATATATACAAATATATACAAATATAGTAAACTCCCACAATGAGGTCAACTTTACAACTAAATAGACAGTGCAACCCTATACATGTCTAGCCCACTGAATTCAATGCATTCCTATACGCCAAGGATTGCTGACACAGCTAAGGAAGGGGTGCTCTGTCCACATGCCTGCCAGAGTTTGTGTGAGAAGTGGCTACACACATCACTGGCATCAGTGCTATTTTTCTAGAAAAAGGTGCCGGAACTTACCATGAATGCCGCCCTTGTTCTCTTATAATGCCAATGGCGCCCACCTGAAAGGTGGCAGAACTGACTTCTGGCAAATTCCGGCTGAAAAAAATGCCCTGACTGGCACACACCCATTCCTCCACCACTCCCAGACACTTGGCCAAGAGTGAATGTGGCAAACAAGGAATTAGCACTAAAGTCTTTTATAGGAGCAAGTCCCATTGAACACAAAAGGACTCACTTCTTTGAAGAGCTAATCGGTCCAAGTCCAGTTTAAATATAAAGAACCATAAGAAGGAAAAGCAGGGGCTCAAAGTTGCCCTTCAGCAGTTGACACCTGGACAGCAGACTGCTATGGTGATATGTATTGTACTACAGATATATAAATTTGCATCTATACCTGTAAAATCAGCACAGGCAAATGCCATGCAAATTGGAGCCCTCTTCTGCCTGCTTTTGGGTGATGCATTCCATCTTTTTTGGTAACACATAAGTGGCCACTCTAAACTGAGTTGCTTCCACGTGAAACCTGGGGTTCAGTCCAGCTGCACTTCCACATGAATGAGGCCCAGTTGCAAGCCTTCTATTAGACCTACACAGCCCAGAGGACACTAACTGGAGCTTGCTAACAAAAGTGGACTTGCCCTCAGAAGGCTGCCTGAAAGCAAAGAAATATAAGTGCATATTTTAATAGATGAGTTGGAAAATACTGTAGAGTATAGCAGGATGGCGCATGCTGTTTCACTGCTTGATGTGAAATGGGAATTCTGCCCTTCTGCTGCCACCTCTGGCACTTAGTTTTGGCAACATCTTGCTGGAAATCAGTGTGATCTCACCCGAAATCTGCATCGACGCTGGTGGTGGAGGCAGCAGGGCAGGCAGTGGGTCCACGGGGGTACCATCTTGGAGGCTTCTGCTACCTGAAGCAGTGGCCTGACCCTGCCTAATGGCTGCGCCAGTCCTGGAATATAGTAATTCATTCTCTAACTGCTATTAGAAGTACCATGTATGGAGACAGTTTCAATGTAATTTACAGCTGTATATTCCTGTTCCTGCTGCCTCAGAGGCTGCTGTGTCAGTGGAGACGGGGGCACCTCTGGTTCTGGAGATGTGCCCCCCTCCCCTGGCTCCCCTGAACTGTCAGCTGCCCCTGCAACATCCTCTGATGTCCCTAGCAAGTGCAGCTTGACTCAGCACAGTGGCAACGTGATGGGGGGAAATACCTTCTGAGTTTCTGCATGTCATGCAGTTTGGAAACACAAAGCCTATGGTGGAACGATAGCATCCAGCAGCCTGAAACCTTAATGGCTACTTGGATCACAGCTGAACTTGGATGGACGGCAAACCCACCTTCAGGGAAAATCAGAATTTGCCAACGTTACCAAAATAATGAAGGGGCAAAAGACACCCCAGGGGACAAATGGCAGGCTGACGTGTGTATCTCTGGACTGATATGCACAGCAGTTCTCCAGGAAGAGCAGATCTTACCATTTTGTACTGTGCAAAAAACTGTCCTTGTAAGCCCCCCACATCAAGTAGGGAGCAAGGAGGATTGCCTGCTGAGGGCCTGAAGGACCCTGCCCTTGCCTCTTTCCACCTGGCTTGGGGCGGGGCCTGACAGGCTTCACAAGGACTGCAGCTGCTTTTAAATTGTTTTTAATTTTTATCTGTGTTGTTTTAAATGAGACCCTCTTGGCTGTGAACCCTGGAATACCTGCACCCTGCCTTGCTGGACCTTTCCCATCTGGTCTGGGAGAGTGGGGTGCTGACTGACTCCAGCTACAAAAGCTGAAGCTGTTGAACAGATTCTTGGACTGGAGTATTGGTTACGGGGGGGGGGCGGGTTTGAGAGAGCTGTTGCTGTTATTGATATTATTGTTGTATCTTTAGTTTTAGATCTTATGATTTACGTGGAAATTGTTTCCATTTGGTTGTGTACTTTTTGATGTGTTTTATTTATTGTTTATGACTTCTGTTGTGTTTGTAATTATGTAAATCTTGTCATGTTGTAAGCCGCCTTGAGCATCGTTTTAACTATGGGAAGGCGGCATACAAATAAAACGATGATGCTGATGATATCCTGATGCTATACTGATATAAACTCTAACTTCCAGGCTAATATCAACATCCCAATGGGAGCCCTTTTACCTGGAGCAGGTCAGCCACCAAAAAGAAAAGAATTTACTGAAGCTGATGAGGTAAGAGCAATATATGTCTTCATCTGCTAGCCTAGTTCATTTCTCATTATTTTAAGAAGCCATATAATGATCAGTCAGTATAAATCGGTTCTATTCAAGTACAATTAGTTAATACACACAACGGTTTGTGGTATTTTGGGGTCAGTGTATGGGTGCAACATAAATCTGGTTCCAAACTAAGGGTGGATATTGTGTTCCAAATGCAAGAAACAGAGATCCTGAGCAATCTGGAAACCCCACTATAGTTAGATGGGTGTTGCATGATTGCATTTCCTAATATTTGGCTTCTAAAAGCAACCGCAAGGAGTCCTACTTTGCAACAGGGCCACAGTGTATATGGGAGGCATGTCTAACTCCCCCACCCCAGATGAAGCCTATACAAATATCTCCACAACTCCCACCATTCGGATAGTGGCTAGTAGCAGCTGCTTGCAGCTCAAGGCTTTTCACCATTCATTGTATTGGGACGGTGCTAGTACTAGTATAGTAGTAATAGTATAATGGGGAGAGGAAGGGAGTAGAAAAAAGGGCCTAGATCCTAAGTTTAGATATCAAAAGGAGCTTTATGAATTTCCAAAAATGGGTTATGTAATTTGAGTACTTGGAGTATACATGTGGGTTTCAGAGGGCTGAAATGTAGGCAGATATTTGGATATAGCTGGAAAATAAGTGAAAGGGCAAGAAGCAAGGAAACTGTGTAGGAGGTGTGAACATTTCAGATGAGAACACAGTCTGTTCATCTACAGATCTGCTAGCATGCAGTAATTTACCACAACCAGACAGCTAATTGACTCTATAAACCTGAAGCCAAATTCCATTTCAGATGCATGGGACTTACTGAAAGAAAATTTGAGATATGCAGCTATGCTTCATGAACTTCTGAAATTAAATAGTAGTTTTATAAGGAACTTTTGGACTAGAAACTTTGCAGACTGTGGCACAGCTCTCACACAGTCCATCGCTCTACTTTTCCAGTTGCAATATGGAACCATATTTCAGTGAACAATTTTAAGCAGCTGCTTTGGTCTTAATTCACCAATTTGAGATCTACATAGTTAAAAGGGGGACGTACATTTTAAAATAAAAATAAATAGGTCACCTACATGTTATAATGCAGAATTATGTTGCCCATGCAGTTAGTTGTTTCCCTCAATCCAATCCTATGAAAACTTTGTATTGCAGGAGCAAAATTATTCCTCTTAAATCTGAAAAGATGCAAAGAGACAGGTTATTTTAGAACAGATACTGCTATGATTACTGTGATCTATTTGCAGCATCAGCTATGCTTAATTTTAGGTTCCATAAATGTGCCAGTAGCCCCAACACAAATTTATATTTCATATCATTTGAAGAAATAAATTATTATCTGGAGAGGTCCATTTTCAAAATGTTATGCAATTAGAGCATATTTAAAATGGTTTAAAAATATTCACCACTTAATTTGCCTCTGTTCATTCCTGTGAGATGCTGTATGGATGAAGACCCACTAGTAACAATGAAAGGGGCATCTGCACAAAATATTGTAAAGCTTGTGATAAATAATCCTTCCTATCTCACAACTAAGAGAAGAGGGCCTTGAGTGTTCTTTTCCAAACTTGTTTGTGGTCCTTTAAAAGTGCAATAAAGAAGCCAAGTCACAGAGCCACCTCAGAAGCTTGCCTTCTTGCTTCTCCAGTGGCAGTAGCAGGGGAGCGTGGGTGCCACGCCATGAGATTCTGCCACCTGAGGCAGCTGCCTCAGTCTGACTCATAGGCTCTGGAGGAGAAGTATAACATACTACATGAATAGATGCCTAAACACTGAATGACCAGAAGTAATCAGTAATCAGATTTACAGTTCCACAGTGTTTCTATAGCTTCTCAAAAGTGATGTGGTTACCAGGTTAGGTAGATCGTCTGGGAGATGTGGCAGAGCTATCCTTGCAGTCTTCAGCAGGCTGTCAGATCTAGTATCTTCTGTGCACTTTAGTAGATCTGTCACATAATGGCTTAGTTCGCACGTAATGCCAAGGCAAATCATGGCTTGGAGCAGATGCGGGGCTTTTTTTCAGAACGCAGTTCCAGCACCTCTCAAGTGGGCACTGTTGCCATGATAAAAGAACAAGGGAGGTGTTCATGGTGAGTTCCAGCCCCTCTTTAGAAAAATAGCACTGTGCAGATGCATGAACATGTGGGTTACTGGAGAAGAGATCACACCCACTGCAGTCCCCCCTCAGTCCTTCTGCTGCAGCATTACCCAGGGCTAAAGCTGGGAGGTTTAAAAAAATATAATTTGTTGGTGTTATGTACTGAAGTTCTCTCCCTGGGCCAGCAGTGGGATACTGCAGATAGTTTTCACTCAGGTCCACATATGCAAATAAGGAATTGAAAGCAACGTTCAGTGATTGGATAGTTACAGAAAGTTGTTACTGTTGCTTTGTAGTTGAGCTCTATATAAGCAGGTGGCTGAACCCTTCAGACCAGTTCTGTTCTGGGCCTGTGAATAAACAAGAGCTGTTTGAAGAATCGTTGTGTCGTCTGATATGTTCACCTACAACTTAACAGTTGGCTTATAGTATGTGTGTGTATAACCATGGTTTAGCTTAGCATGGAGCGGATTTGCCTCAACCAGGGCTCCCAGTTTATTTCATTCCAGACAAACTTTGAGCTGTAAGCCAAGAACAATCTTGGTTTGGCTTAGCAGTGCATGTGAACTGGGTCTTTGTGAAAATGGAAACATCCCCCAGTGTATTAGTTTGAAGTAGATGGGTTTTTTTGTCTGCAGAGCCTTCCAGCTTCTTCAGAAGAGGAAAAGAAAAAGGTGCTCCCAGGAGCCAAGAAATTACCTGGCCCAGCTGTAAACCTGTCAGAGATCCAGAATGTAAAGAGTGAGCTGAAATTTGTCCCAAGAGCTGAACAGTAGTAACAGGAATGAAAAGGTATGTCCAGGGGTCCCTTACCTTATCTTTTTTTACCTAAACTACAATGAAATATAGGGAACTTTGCTCTGGTTACAATTATCAGTATGGTGAGATGGAGTTGAGAACCTTGCATAAAAAGAAATGTCATCTTGTGGTAATTACCCTTGATTGAAATATGCTTAAGAATCAGATAAATTATTCCAAACTACAGTACTGCATTTATCCTGTGAGTACTCTTTTTGGGGTCAGGTCACTGCAATGCTTTCCCAAAGTGCCCTCTTAATTCTGACCAAAAAATATCCCTTGAATAGACCATTACTCCCATTTTGCAAATGAAGGAACCCAAGCCAAGAAATAAAGCTACTGGTGGCATTTTTATTGCTCTGTAAACCAAAGGCAAATTTTGGAAATCCAATCCTAATGCAGTAGCAGGTCACTTCTAAAATATTCAGAAGCTAATTTCTATATGACCTCAATTTGTTCATAAAAATGCACAGGCTATAGTACACTCAATTAGCACTGCAATTATTCTTCTATTATTCAAATTATAATACATGCAGAGAGGCAAAATGTAGGTGGAACAATTATGCTTTCACTTTAAAAATAGAAACAATAGGCTTTGATCAACCAAAAATAAGTTGTTAATTGGTGCAAAAACAGATAATGCCTTGTTTCCATATACTGTATTTTTCGCTCTATAACACGCACCCGACCATAACACGCACGTAGTTTTTAGAGGAGGAAAATCTCTAGGCATGCCACCCGTAGGCATTCCCTCCATAACACGCACAGACATTTCCCCTTACTTTTTAGGAGGAAAAAAGTGAGTGTTATGGTGCAAAAAATACAGTAGTCTGCATGTGAAGTACAGCTTTTAAAAACCCCTCCCAGAAAGAAGAGGAACACACTTACAGAATAGCGGGGCTCTCACATAGAGGCATCTACAATGTGCAGGACGGTGGCTCCACCTTCATGTTGTATAAGAGCACTAGAGGAAAAAAACATTACAAATAAATGGCTGTTTGCCTAAATAGACAAATGCCGATAGCTCTGTCCCTACCCTTCTCCTCTTTTCTATCTCTTAGAATACAGTCCATGCTCCAGTCCAGGCAAACAACCACAGCATAAAGCCTGAAGCTTTATTACTATCACTGTGAGATAGTACCCAATGTACCCATTCAAAATTGGGTAGCCTGGGTAAAGCATTAAAAAATGTTTTTCCCCCACTTCTCATTTGTAACAGGGGAGGATAAAAACCTTTTGCTTCAGCTCATTGAACCAGTTTGGATTTGCTTGTTACGGTGTCTGCCTTACCTTTTCTTATTTTGGTCAATGGCCCGTTCTTTGTGTTTGTGGGAGGGAAGTTATTGGTTTGTCTTTTTTTCTCGTTTTATTATGTCTTTTGTGTTCTCATCTTGCATTTTTATTCTGTGAATCGCCCTGTGATCTTCAGATGAAGGGCGGTATGCAGATTTAATAAATAACACAGCTGAGGTTCCTACCACTCTTGCTTCTCACATGGAGGGGTTCATTTAAGGTGCCTTGCAGATGACAAGCCAGAGCTTAGATTCACAGCTCCTGTAAGGTTACCTCAGGATCATGCTCCATGGATGTGAGGCCCCTATTGCTACAATTAAAGGATCAATCTTTTCTTGGCTTTGTTTTGGGGGGAAACTTGACGGGGAGTAAAGCACAATGTACAGGATGTAATGTAAAGGAGAACATAATTAGAGACTGCTAGCTGAGAATATTATACAGAACAGCTAATTCTCTGTACATGGGCATTGTGCGATCTCTCAAACCACAAAAATTGTGCTCAAGGTATTATGGCAACAGGCACTACCAAGAAAAGGTAATAATAAATAATGCAAATAATTAACCTTACAAATTGCACACACTTTCCAGCACAGAGAGTCTTCCAAATACCTTCATGAAAGACAAGGGCTAATTGTTCCTAAGGACGTGGAGTACACCTCTTCCCCTATTAATGCCTTAGTTAGGTTTGATAGAGCTGCATAAATTGTAGCCAATTAAGCTGACAAAGTGATCTCGAATATCACAGCTCCAACCCGGTAATCAAGCTAATTTATTTCTCACACACTTTTGTCTTCCATCACTCCCTTTTGTAATTTTTCCTCATGTCACTTGATAGGAGGCTACCTAATTACGGTGTTCACAGTCCTGTACTCAAGAGCAGGCTAAGTTATTACTTCAGTATAGTGCTTTTTAAATCTTTATACTTTGAGTATGTTTTCACTTCAGCTTTTTTTGCTGGAGTGATTGCCTTTCATGCGTTGTGTAATTGTAAGCCCTCTGTTGTTGCCCATGAGACCACAGAACTCCCCTGAGGGTCTGAGAGACTTCACCTCCCATAGCCTGGGCTGTTGCCATAGGCCTGGACATGGCTATATATATATATATATATATATATGAGCAAGGCCTTGTTTTTCATCCCAGAGTTAGATCTGCTAGAGCCAGTGTGGTGTAGTGGTTAAGAGCGGTGGACTTGTAATCTGGTGAACGGGGTTTGTGTCTCCGCTCCTCCACCTGCAGCTGCTGGGTGACCTTGGGCTAGTCACACTTCTCTGAAGTCTCTCAGCCCCACTCACCTCACAGAGTGTTTGTTGTGGGGGAGGAAGGGAAAGGAGAATGTTAGCCGCTTTGAGACTCCTGAAGGGTAGTGATAAAGCGGGATATCAAATCCAAATCCAAACTCTGCTGATCTATATATCATGTATTGTTCAACCATTTACCCACTAGAACATTCACATTTTTACAGCAGTGTGTTCAACATCATGGTTGTTATTATTGTCATCACAATTTATTTCCCGCCTTTCACCCTAAGGGTACCAGGGTAGGTTACAACTATTAAAGCACAACATTAATATTAAAAGCAGAGCTTTTTTCAGCTGGAACTCAGTTCCAGCACCTCTCAGGTGGGCGCCATTCTAAGAGAATGAGGGTGAGTTCCGGCATCTCTTTTTCTAGAAAAATAGCACAGATATTACACCATATTTTTTTATTAAAAAAACACAACAGTTTAAAATGACTTATTTATCACTGCAAAGTCAATTGGACTTATTCCAGTCAATCAGGGGCAGGCAATTTCCATCCTTTCAGAACAATATTAGTCTGTCAGGGAGTGATACCAGCTGATGGGTGGAGAAGAATGGTTTGGCCATGCTGGGTGCTGCTTTGTCAGAAAGCAGGACTGAACCCTGGTGAGTAGAGAGTTTAATCCTGCTTGGTGCTGCTTCAGCAGCACCTTCCCCTGCAAGGAATGCTCTGGAGAAGCAGACCCCTGCAAGGAGCAGGATTAAACCATCCGCTCACCAGCTACTGAGCAGAGAGTTCATCCAGCTGAATGCTGCTTCGCCAGAGCATTGCCTACAGAAAAACAAACAAACCCAAAATAGAGCTGTTAGGGCGTATCCCCAAGCAGTATTGAAATCAGAATGCCAGTGCAGGTTAATGCGGCTACTTACACATCACCAAGACATTTAATCCCCATGGCAACCCTGTGAGGTAGGTTTAGGCCGAGAGGCAGTGACTGGCTCAAGGTCACCCTTCAAAGTGGGGATTTGAACCTTGTTCTCATCTACAGTGGTTCCTCAGGTTAAGTACTTGATTCGTTCTGGAGGTCCATTCTTAACCTGAAACTGTTCTTAACCTGACGCACCACTTTCGCTAATGGGGCCTCCTGCTGCTGCCACGCCACCGGAGCACGATTTCTGTTCTCATCCTGAAGGAAAGTTCTTAACCCGAGGTACTATTTCTGGGTTAGCAGAGTCTGTAATCTGAAGCGTATGTAACCCGAGGTACCACTGTATTCTGGTCCAGCACCATAGTCGCTAGGTAAAAAGGTAAAAGGTAAAGGACCCCTGGACGGGTTAATCCAGTCAAAGGCAACTATGGGGTTGTGGCGCTAATCTCACTTCAGGCCAAGGGAGCCGGTGTTTGTCCACAGACAGCTTTCTGGGTCATGTAGCCAGGCTGGGTGTTCATCAGTATGCAGATGATACCCAGCTCTACCTCTCTTTTAAATCAGAACCAGTGAAGGCGGTGAAGGTCCTGTGTGAGTGTCTGGAGGCAGTTGGAGGATGGATGGCAGCTAACAGATTGAGGTTGAATCCTGACAAGACAGAAGTACTGTTTTTGGGGGACAGGAGGCGGGCAGGTGTGGAGGATTCCCTGGTCCTGAATGGGGTAACTGTGCCCCTGAAGGACCAGGTGCGCAGCCTGGGAGTCATTTTGGACTCACAGCTGTCCATGGAGGCACAGGTCAAATCTGTGTCCAGGGCAGCTGTTTACCAGCTCCATCTGGTACATAGGCTGAGACCCTATCTGCCTGCGGACTGTCTCGCCAGAGTGGTGCATGCTCTGGTTATCTCCCGCTTGGACTACTGCAATGCACTCTACGTGGGGCTACCTTTGAAGGTGACTCGGAAACTACAACTAATCCAGAATGCGGCAGCTAGACTGGTGACTGGGGGCGGCCGCCGAGACCATATAACACCGGTCTTGAAAGACCTACATTGGCTCCCAGTACGTTTCCGAGCACAATTCAAAGTGTTGGTGCTGACCTTTAAAGCCCTAAACGGCGTCGGTCCAGTATACCTGAAGGAGCGTCTCCACCCCCATCATTCTGCCCGGACGCTGAGGTCCAGCGCCGAGGGCCTTCTGGCAGTTCCCTCATTGCGAGAAGCAAAGCTACAGGGAACCAGGCAGGGGGCCTTTTCGGTAGTGGCGCCCGCCCTGTGGAATGCCCTTCCAGCAGATGTCAAAGCGGTAAACAACTACCTGACATTCAGAAGACATCTTAAGGCAGCCCTGTTCAGGGAAGTTTTTAACGTGTGATTTTATTGTATTTTTGGTTTTTATGGAAGCCGCCCAGAGTGGCTGGGGAGGCCCAGCCAGATGGGCGGGGTATAAATAATAAATTATTATTATTATTATTATTATTATTATTATTATTATTATTATTTAGGTGCAACAGAACACCATGATGGAAACCACTG